GCTGCCTATCAGGCCTGGGAAGGTCAGGATGTAGCAATGTAGCTGTCGTAATCTGTCGTATACTGTTGTAACCTATCATCTGCAATGCACCAGAATTTCACATGGATGCAACCTTGCAATGAGTTTCAACTAGGTTTGTGGCTCAGCCCTTGCACCTGCAGCACCAGTATCCGAAGGAAAAAGGAAAACTGTCTCACCATAGGCATTGGATGGCATTGGAGAAAAGAATCCACAAACCCGGAAGGTATCCTGGCACCTCATTTTACAAAGTGAATAATGCCCCGAGTGCCCGCTTTTGCTTCACATTGATTGCCAGAAATCATCAATAAATTCAGACGACACTGTGCCATGGCCACTGCAGGCCTTCTTGGCTTGGTAGAGGCCGCATCAACATCTCAGCCTTGCAATCCAAGAAGCGTTCCACCATGCCCCACCAGTGCCCTGGCAATCGGATGCACCTTCGCTAACAAAATCTCGGTGTCAACAGGGACATCCCTGCCTGCACACAAATGCAAGGGCAGGAAGGCTCAAGCCTATGCAAATTCAATATGCTAGTTCATGCTTAGTGTACTATGTCGCACATTTGGATTCAAAAGCGCGGCACATGGCCTCCAGGAGTGTCTCTCCTGCGCAACTCCTGAACAACACAATTGCATACACTGCCAATATGCATCAATATACTGCATCCTGCACCCTGTGGTCAAACTTGCAGGATCGAATCATGAGGCTTTGTTGGTTCCAACCATTCTGTCGGGGTTATGAGTTGCCTAGGTCAGCAGCACCTGAAAATCTTTAAAAAAAAATGTTGCTATTTTTTGTCATGTTGCTATCATGTTCTTGTATTTGGGCGTGTCATTTGTCATTTGTTTGTCAGTTGGATGCGGTATGGTTCTGTCATGTTCTGTCATGGTCTGTCATTTTTGCATGCTGCAAATGCCAGGCTCCAAGAAAAGGATGAATTACAGAACAATTAACAAAATTCGAGGAAAAGTGCGATTCTGGGCATTATCAGGCTGCATCGCAAATGCCGCCCTCCAACAGAAGAGAAATGAATATAATGAATTTTAAAAAACGAAAAAGTGCTAAGTACCATTTTCGACGGGCTCCGGGCTCCCAAAAAAAATAGCGAGACCAAAAAAATTACAGAACCATGACTCATGAATGACAAACACATGGAAAAAAAAAACGAGGAAATGTATGGAAATGTACCATTTCTGCGATCTTCAGGCTCTGTCTGCTTCAAACGCCGGATTCAAATTCAAAACGATAAATAAATAGAAATAACAGAATAAAAATATTACAAAAATCGATCGAACTTACTAATTATGTTCGACATGTTTGGATGCTGTCCCCGCAAGAACGAGAAATGACAAGGAAATGACAACCCAAATAACAACAAACGACAGCATAAATCACAGAAAAACGACAACCCAAATGACCAAAACGAATGACAAATGACAAAAACATAACACGTACTGTAGCAACGGCAAAGAAATGCCAACAAAAATAACTATGTGCTTTCACTCAGAACCTTCTGGTAAGTAGATCACAGGGTTAACCGGATCCGAAGCTAAGAGCTCTTGGCTCAACTGAACGACGGCTTTGCTTGCAATGCACCTCTTTTGAAGGCGCTCCTTTTCGAGACCGGTTTTGCCTCATACCACACTGGTCCGGCAATCCCCAGAGCGAAACAGTCAGCAATTGACATCACAATCAAAACAGATCATGGAACCAACCTCATCTCGGCCGCAAGTTGTTGTGAAAAATCCATTCAGTTCAAAGAAGCAACTCTCTTGCTTGTCAAGGTGCGGCTGGCCCTCTGCACCTTCCGCTCTCGCAACCTTGAAAACAAGAAGTTTCAGCATGGCATTGCTCACCACTCAAAGCATATGGCTGAAGCTCTACCAGCTAGAAGCCCTGACATCATCTGGAAGAATTCTTGATCAGTGTGACACAGTAAGACACAGTAAGATGGAGACTGCATCTGGACGCTTTGAATCTGGCAAGGGGCAATGGGCAACTTGGCTTGCCAACCCTTTCCGTGCTTATGTGCCAACCTCGAGGCTTGAGCACCAGCTTGTTCAGGGCACCTGAGCACAATTCACAAGGGCATGTTGTGAGCACTCGGTAAAAGTTCGAGCTACCTTTCGGAGTTATTGTTGCCGCGGTTCGCCGCACGGATCTACAAGCAGCTCCAACTCCTAAATAATCTCTACCTTGGACCTGATGATCTCTCCCCCGATGATAAGTATGCCGCCTTTTTCCCATCTCTAACCGAAAAAGATTTTGACTGGGGCAGTGTTGACAAGGTAAACTTCAGAAAGGAAGGATTGGTATTTGAAAGGCCTGTGCATGACGCGGCTTTAATTTTTTGGGGGGACCATGGGAAGATCGGAAAGGTCATCCGAAGCATATTATGCTCTTCTAAAGTCTCTGGAAAATATCCAGGCTGACGGGCGAAGATAACACGCCAAGAACGAATCGGTCTCGCAATCACATTCCTGCGATTTCCTGCGATTTCCTGCGATTTCCTGCGATTTCCTGCGTCCATGTTTGCAACTCCAAGCCGTTTGGAGGTGCGACAACATTGACAGCAGCAGCGGAGCAGGAGCAAAAAAAAGGAGCAGGGAGAGAAGCACTAGCAGCAAGATGGGACAACGCGAGCTTTATAAAACACAGTGACAGGCAGATGTGTGCCTTTATGTGGCTTCTAGAGATATTTGAACTACAGTGTGTCTGGTTTCAGTTTTGCTTCCAACCGGTGGTTGTTTCAAAAAAATGATTCGCAATCGCTTTGAAGGCATCGGAGAGGACCCTTGAAGACCCTTGGGGATGGAAAAATTCTGGTGGCTGAGGGATCAGCTGGGCGACAGCGCTGCTCCAGCATCTCTGGTACTTTCCTGCTTGCATGACACAAGGCTCATGGGCTAACATTGAACTGCACACATCAGGGCAACAAAGACATGAGATCCAAAACTAAACATGTTACAAACGAGCTCTTTGATTTTCTCGCACAATGAAAATTCTTCTAGAAACACCGCTACATTAATCCAGCCCTTCCACTCTTCGCTTCTGGGCAAATATATAGATTTGTAGCCAATGCAGCTGCTGCTCAACATTCATATTATGAATGGAGGTCGCAGGAAAAGGGCTACATTCTGCGATCGACCTTGTCCCGAGGACCAATGCTTAAGTCAACCCGCAGCAGCTTGAGAACCAGACTCCATGAAAGCTCGCCATCCAGAAACTTACGCAGCAGCACTTCCTCCGGGACCGGACCTACACTTTGTAGGAACCAATGCATCAGCTGACGCCATTCATCTTGAAGGTCATGCATTTGACCTTCCGTTAAGCTTGGTCCAGGAATCAGAGCTCGGCGCAAAGGCCCATGAGCAATGTGCAAGTGTTTAAATGCCAAGAATCTGACCAACTCCTTAGGGGAAGAGTTCAAGACAAGTTTGTAGGCGCGTCGACCTTCGAATCGCCAAAGGGGATCATCCCGTTGTCTCTGGCCTTGCAATACTCGCAGCGTTGCCAAGCAATCGGTCAGAATTTTCTTACACATCATTGCCTGAATCTTGTGTCTGTGCCCAGGCTCGACTCGCAAACGGAGACGTCGATAGTCCCACTCACGCCCATGCTGATTCGTCTCTTGGAGAGAATGCGGCTGAGTTCGTTCAGAGACATCTGAGACATCCACTTGCTCAGCTTGCTTCTCTGTGTCAATCTCCGGAGAATCATGTGAATCGACAGAATGTGCAACACGATCCTCTGCCAGCTTATTGAGAATCTTCACAACCTCAACCGACCCCATCCTCGCCAAATGAGACGGGAGTGGCTGTCGGGGGTCCAGAAGTGTCTTCAGCGGTGACAAGGCCTCACCCGGCTGCAAAGAAACAGCTACGACCTGCTTTTCTTTGGCAGTTGCCGTTGGTGCGTCCAATTCCATCGCTGATGGAGCTGGAGATCTTGCAGGTTCAGCCTTAGGCATTTTGGGCACCTCAGGTTTAGATGGTTCAGGTTCTTTGGAGCTCAAGGAGTCTTGAACAGCGTTGAGATAATCTGGGAGCAAAGGTTGGAGCCCCTCTGACCTTTTGGAGAACCGCCGTAGCAGTTTCACCATGCGACCAGGCCATACCCGGGTCACCTTGTTCAGGTCCAAACTGCCGGGGCGGCATCGCATCGGTGCATCACTAGGCTGCAAAGAAGCTCAGAGATTTGCTTGTCGACTAGTGACTGCTGGTGTTGCACTTCGAGTGCTATGTCTGATTTCATCATATGTTACGTATGTTCCAAGTTTTCCGTGCAGAGAAAATGTCTTTGCCCAAATGCATCCAAATGCAGATTCTGAGACAGGCAACAGGAGGATGGAAAAAAAAACTGCGCAAAAGTCTCGCTGCGGTTTCAGTGTTTGGTTGTGAGTTGTTTGCAAGGAATATTGCTTGCTCTCTTGGTCGACAATACTGAGGGTATGGAATGGGCATTCAGCATGAAGAAGTGAATTATATAAGCTTAAAGGCTGAGCAGTACCTGTTTTGAAGTTAAAAAGAGTTAAAATGTATGTTGCCCAACCTCCTCAAACCAATAGCTGCACAGTTCACACAAATGTATCCAGCAAAGCATGGGATGATAGCACGGCAGTCTACGGTGACTAAAGCTTCTGATACGACGGCAGTCTGCCGTACCTTGAAGTAATAAGGCGGTTGGATAAACTCTGGTTGTGGCGCGCATGCCCTTAGCATGTTGTGAAATTAAAAAAAGATTACTGTAAAAAGATTACCGAGATGTTGATCCATTCAAGTGGTGAATATTCACTATATGATATGCGTTTTTGACCCATACCCATCATATTGGAGAATGGTGGGCTTCCGTTTCCATCCTTTTCCTAGATCCCCAGCTGCAAAAAAGCCAAGAGATGCCTCTCTCCCCTGCGCCATGGCCATGGTCGCCTCACAGCGACATGGCGAATTGACGTTGCCGCGCCATGCCACGCCGTGTACGTGTTGTCCCAGCCTCAGCCCTCCGTGGCTTCGAGCTTCCACGGGGCGCTGGTCTGGCCTGGCCGTGGTTACATCGTGTTACACCCTGGCTCCCGTTCTGTAAATATTTGAAGATTTTTTCTGTAAATACTTGCGCAATGTCTAAGAAATTCTACAGATGCTCGTGCAACTTGTGAAACTTGGTTGTACGTGCATCTGTCTGGCATTACCTATCTGATCTATCTGTGTGCCTAGGCCTCAGTTTTGTGTACCTCACAGGTGTCTACCTATCTTGGCGCATCATAGTGAATCATAGCGTATACAGCGCATCCGTAAGGGCCCGTAGCGACGTAGCTCGTGCCATCCTTGAGCTCGCAGCGTGAGAGTCCAGGAAGGTGCTCACGCTGCCCCCAGATCTGTCACAAGGCAAAGCTCAGACTCCAAGCGGCTTCGGTGCAAGACTCCCCTGATACTCTTTGCCGTGCAATGCAATAGATGGAACGATTACCATGATTACCCATTGCCTATTGCAAGTATGTTACATCTGCTGCAGCATCAGCACATAGGATTCCTATGGACGGACAAACTGGTTCTGAAGGCTTCACTTGGGCTTCGACTTCGGCCGATCAGCAAGCGACAAACTTGAGCCTCCAGATTGGAAGATATTAAGCATTTCATGTCATTTCAAGCCATACATACAAGCTCCCACCAAAACACAACAAGACAATCTAAAACATACTACGCTACAACAGACATCTTCAATCATCACCGTTCATCTCAGTACCTGCTGCATCGCCAGACAAAGGGACGTCAGGAACGCCCAGGTCAAGTTTGCGAGCCTGTACAGGTTGCAGGGCCACAGTCTGAAAGCTTCAGAGCAGGAACCCATTAATTTTCACCAATCAAGAACATCATTGTCATGCAGCATCATAAAATATAATATAATATCATAAAGTATCATAAACTATAAATTGGAACATTGTAATACAAGTATGACACTGTGTCGTACGAGTATCTGTCCAACTTCTAGGATTCTAGGCCCAGCCTTTTCATAAATCTTCTCAGAAAAAGAGTCTGAAAGGGAGTGGCTGATGTCCAAGGCATTGCGAACTCCATCACCTGGAGAAGCAAAGGCACCGCCTAGTCACCAGCAACTGCCAGTCATGGAAATGTTGGATGATGTTGGGGGCTTGAGGACCCCTGCTTCGTCTCTTGAAAGCATCGTGAGCCTAAATGCACGGAATGCATGGAATGCACCGACTCAGGGAGTCAGGCCTCTGTCACAACCTGCTCTCGAAAGGACTCAAACTTGGAAATCTTGGGAACGAACCTTTGTCACGGTGGCAGGGTTTCTGTCCGAAGACCTCCCGTGTCAGGTGGTCAGCACAGTGCAAATACCGTGTCCAGCCTGTGTCCAGCTTTTCCGTTGCCTTTTCGAAGATTAAAAAAAACGACTCCTCACTCATCCGCCTTTCTCTGTCTTTCTCCTCCGGCTCTCGAACCGGAGACGCGGCCTCAGGGAATCCCCATGATATTTTGACGATGACACACAGAGCCGCACTAAGCCGCAAGTGCTTCAAAACAACTTGATGCGAAGTACTGGGTACAGTGCGTTGGCTTTCATCAGTTTAAGTTTAAGTTTAAATGCAATTGATTCCGGCAACAATCTCATGAAATTTCGCGCATGCATGCCAAATCCAAGGCCTTTACTCTGACATCTTTGGAGCCTGCTTTCGTGCTTGCCGGCTGAAATTTGGTGAGGTTTGCAAAGAATGCCACTCCTAAGCTCTTTTTTGATGCCCATGGTTTAGGAAGCTTTTGAAGCTGCGCTGGCCCATCAACAAGGTCATAACATGGAAAAACAAGGTTTGTTTGCCATCACATGCTAAGCACGGCAAGCCTCGAGGTCTGCGAAAGATGCTGCCAGTTTTGCCTCGGCAGATTCTAAGCTTTTGCGATCCGTTGGCTCGACGCCATTTGGCACCTGGAGCTGGAACTGAGGTCAAGACTGACAGGTGCCCGACGGACAGGTGCCCGACTGACGGGCGCTCGATTGACGGGGGCTCGACTGGCAGGCGCTCCTCCGGCCTTATCTCCCAGCATTGGAGGCCCAGACACTTTATCCTCTCAGAGTGAAAAAGAACCAGCTTATGCTGGGCTCTTCACAGATGCGGCTCGTGACAATTTGGCAGATTCCTAAGCTTTGAAAGCTCAAACGTTAGGCCATCCCGGTTGCTAATACTTGAAGGGTATCTCTTTAGCAGAAACATGCAGAAACCTGGTGGCATTCTTGTCTCGTTATTAGAAGATCTTACATTCCCAGATCGAGCAATCATTCCAGGGAATCCCTGGACAAAAAAGAATCTTTGATAAGAAACACTTCTCATACATTTCCTGCAATTCAAGCAGGTACAAGTAATTAATTAGTCAAGATTAAGCCGGGTTACTGCCGAAGCCGCAGCCATCTGCAGAGCATTATTTTTCACAACAGCTGCCTTGGTGCCACAAGAGATCCCTCTACAGAAAGATTGTGGAGTCGCAATGACATTCTGTGCGCCACCAACCCTCGAGCCCTGAGGTCTTGGCAGCAGATCTCGCTGCAGCTCTAAATTCTGCCTGGCAACTGGCAATGGTGGCTTAGGTGCCAAGCAAATAACCCGGGACCAAACATAGACCAAAGATGCATGCAGGCGGCCTTCTTCTCTGACACCTTCCAGCAAACATCACCGACCAAAGATCAGCACCAACATCAAAATTTAATTCAAAAAAACCGAGCAGTGAGTACAGTAGATCCCAGTGGATAAAGTTAGGGGAAGTTATACAACAGGTGCGCAGCCAACGCCCAACTTGGGTTAAGCTGTGGCCAAAAGCGCGAATGCAAAACAAGAGCACCGCCACAGCAGCTGCCAGCAACGGATGGAAAATTCGCCCAAACATGAGGATAAATTGGGCTAGTCAGAGACTCAGAGACTGCCAGTGCCACTTTTAGGCCTGACGGTTAAGTTTTATCGGCACAGTTGACGCACGGTCTCGGCCTAGGCCCGATGGTAACCATTGCCACAGCCCGCAAAGCAAAACAGCACAAGTAAATACAAGTAAGACTCTAAGACAAGATGTACAAGATGAAAACAAGTAAGATGATGTAAGATGTACAAGTTTTTAAAAAATCGTAAGACAGTGCTGAGGCAGTGCTGAGGCAGCTGACGTCTAACGCATTCACGATCATGCCTCTTCACCTGACGCAGGCAACGGCGGAGGGGGCACAGCTGCAGCCTGGTAAGAAATGTGAGAAAGAGTCTTAAGAGGTGAAGTGTAAAAGAACGGTGAAAGGTTATTGAAATTTATTGCAATTCCAGCTGATTCCAGCTGGATGTTCCTTTATCTACACGAACTGCTGAGGAAGTGACCCAGCGCCAGGTCAAATTTATTCTTGCCTCAGTGGACGTCTGTGCAGGCATGACGTCGGTGGCAAAACGCACTAAACATCCCCCCGTCACGGAACTCTTGGATCACAGCTCCGCGTGCTACTCTTTCAGAAAGCACCTTTGCGAGGGGAATATGGCCCAAAGTTGCACAATGTCTTGACCACGCATTCATTCACATTGCTACTCAATGAGGCTCTGCACTGCATGTAGGTAATGCTTCTGTACTAGGCCTGGCGCAACACGACAGGGCCCAAAAGCTTTGATGGGAAAGGGTGTTTTGTTCATGGTGTCTGCCACATGCCAAGGCGGTGTTTTCCTGTGTTTTCCATAGCAGCCAAGCAAACCTGGCCAACTGCTTCATGCCCGCTCCCCGCTCCGTTTTTCTCTGAATGCTACGTCACAGCATATGGCTTCTGGATGTCAACCCACACATACCTGAGGTGGGAATGCCAGAAACACGCCACGATGAATGAAAGTCTGTACTCCCTTCCTTCTTCCCGAGTGGTGAGTCACAAGAAGGCAAACCCTCAATCTCTCCCCGATTTTGATGCACTTCAATCTTCACATACCATCCCAATTAGCAGGACATGCAAAACACCGGGCACCAATACCTACTAACCAACCACCAGCCAGCGAACTAACCTGAGCTGATTTGAAAAGATTGCATTGTATGTATATATATATATATGTGTGTGTGTGTAATATGTATGTCATATCTCTCCGTATCTATTGTTTGACCATTTGTAGCCATTTTATACATGCAGCATTATGCAGTATAGACATGCAGCCATGAATATTGTTTGTATGTTCCAGTATGCCTCGTGTATAAGTGTACATGTGGTGGCTGGTCAAAATGTCTTTGCCTGGGGCTGTGCAAAAAAAAACGCGTATCCTATACAGCCTATACATATGGGCCATGTGTGTGACATATCTTGGTTGGATCAACTTGGTTTCCGTTGGTCTCCAAGGATCTCCTCTGTTCCGCCTGCAGGATGCGGTTGGCGCTGAGCATTGACTGCTGAAGCAAAGCCACCAGAGAGCAACCATTGAGACACATCCACACGCAGAGATGGACTCCAAATCCTTAGGCCGCTCACAGGCACATCATGATCATCAATGATCATCAATGATCATCATGCGTGAACAGCGGTGAACAGATCAAGTCACTCTTAATGTCCCTTGGAAATGTTCCTTGGACATGTCCTTTGGAATAACGGTATGATTAGTCGGTTGTCAGAGCTGTCAAACAAGCGGCACAAAATGCTGCCCGTCAGGTGCATCTTCGATGTCAAACCTTGGTGGTAGTCCGACTGAGCCGGTAAAAGGTTCAAAAAGAAACATGCTGCTGCTGAGGAATTTGAATGAATTTGAAGGCAGAGCATGGCTTTGTTTGGTCTCAATGCGAGTTGGTTGTTGGCAGAAAGCTGAAGTGTTAAACCATCACAATGTTGAGCTGTAGTTCTCCCGTTCTGCGTGACGGAATTGACTAATTCCGGCTATGGTCTATGCAGTCTGGAGGCGCCCACTGATGGAGACCAAGCTGGAAGTGTCCAGCGACACCTTCATTTCGAGCATGTCTAAGTAGAACCCAACCACCTGGCCTTAGAAAACAAAAATTAAATATATATATATAACAAACGTGTGAAACCTGATCATTTTTATGGCTTGCAGTGGTCGCTTTCTACACGAAACGGAGTTAATGATAGTTGATGGATAATAATAGGGAGTCAGTCTGATCTTGCATTGCAAAGTGCTGTCACAAAAGGGATCAATGTGAATCAACATTTTTCAGGGGCCTAACAGTTGCCAATCATTCTTGAGTCCAACCGTCTCAGTGATCTGAGCAGCCGACCGAACCACCCAAATAAGCTGCAAAATGCCCATCAGGGGATCATTCGCATGGTCCAAGGAATTCCTGGACCCCAATGCTGTGAAATGCCAGGCAATACAGAATCCGCAAACCAAAGAAATCCAAAGAATAAGAGAACGGTCAATTTGCTCCTCATGTGCACCACGTCGAAGTGATGCTGGGGGAAGCACTCATTTAGGGCTTCCGTCGCGCATTGTAGTGGAAAGGCTGGAGGCTCATGCTGAAGGATATCCTCGCATCACAACTGCATGAAAAAATGCAGGGGGCAGGCACTATACAGGACTTGATTCACAAAGCTCATACAAAGACATCGTCCAAGGCCAAGGCACAAATAGTTGCAGGTAGAATCTTGCCAAACCATCACTGGCTACGACTGGCACACTTTGGCCACAGTCAATCCGACCGGGTGCCAGTGGCCCCGATCCCGCATTGAGCACCTGACTTAGAGCAAAACGTCAGGGCCGAAGTCAAGAGCCAGGAGGTTCCATAGCCATGACCCTTTTGGGATTTCAACACCTATAAGTGTCAGACCCGCGGGGTGCCATACTTCTCGTTGCTTCGAGCCAAATCCAGGAAGGTGCAAATGTCGTCATAGTGCCAGGCGACCACACCTGCAACGGCCACTAGGTGTTCGCAAACCCAGGGCGGCACAGGAAACCAAGACATTCCACTCAATTTCTGCAGCAAGGGCACCTGACTCCACCCAGTACTGTGCACTTTTCCAGGCTGCTGGGTCAACCTCTGAGTTGTTCCCGTTCTTTGGATCCAGAAGGGCATGCCAAAAGCCCACCTCCGAATCAAGACCTCAGCTTGGGCGGGAGTCGCCATGATTTTCTTTCAATGAAATTGATTTGAGGCTACTTGGACAGAAATGTGGAAGACATGTTTTACAAAAATGTTAACGTTTTTCCCTGCAAGAGACCCCAAACAGTTTAGTTAGGATTCTAAAGAGCAAGGTGGGCGGGGACCTAAAATCATCAGTGGCTGCAAGCTAGCAGGACAAGAGCGACCTTAGTAGCGAAAAGAAGAGATACCAGTGATACCAGGTCAGATTCTGCAAGTTCCCTTTGTGAAGATCTAGAAGATCGTGCACAAGATCTCCTTGAGAGGTTCTCTGTAGAAGCTGCTGTGCGAGATCCCTGTGTAAGGCTGTCTGTGCAAGGTGTCTATAGGAGATCTCCACAGAAGATCTTTGTAATGGATCTCAAGGTAAGATCTCTGTTCAAGCTATCTTTAAATGATCTCCGGGCAAGACCTCTGCTCTCTGCACCGGGTCTCTGTACAAGATCTCCACAAGAGGTCTCCTAGGAAGATCTTTGTACAAGATCTCCATAAGAGCTCTCTCTGCACAGATCTCTTGAAGAGGTCTCTTGGCAAGACCTCTGGCCAAGATATCTATACGAGATCTCTCGGCAAGATCTCTTTGCGAGATCTCCGTACAAGCTCTCTATAAAAGCCTTTTGGCAAGATTTCTGCAACAGCTCTCCATGCAATGTCTCCGTACAAGGTCTCCAGAAGAGGTGTCCTGACAAGATCGCTGCACAAGAGCTCTATAAGAGGTGTCGTTCTCTTGGCAAGATCTCTACAAGGGGCGTCTTGGCAAGACCCCAACAAATGTCTATGCAATATCTCTACTCTATGCAATGTCTCTGTACAAGATCCCTTTCTCCGGTACAGGCTCTCTAGAAGAGTTTTCTTGGCAAGGTTTATGTAAGTGACCTCTTGGCAAGATCTCTGCAAGAGGTCTCGTGGCAAGATCTCTGTACAAGATCTAGCCATTTTGTGTTGAAATTTACAGGAAAAATGGCCGCGGACACCTCCGGGGACATCGTTTTGTGCGAGCCTGCACAGTCGAAAGGCACATGGACATTTCACAAAAACCATTTTGTGTGGAAATTTACAGGACAAGTGCCGGACGCTAATCCCGCGACACCCGTTTTGTGCGGCGAGCCTGCGCGGTCGAAATGCACGTGGACATTTCACAAGAGCCATTTTGTGTGGAAATTTACACGGAAAATTCCGGACGCGACGGAAACCACCTCGATTGAACACCGGGCCTTAACCCTGACCGTTAGAACCCCTCAGTGTGGCTATCAAACGCTATCAACAAAGTCTTCAACACACGCGATGACGGCTACTGAGGTCAGCTCCCCGGACCCAGCGGATCATCAACCTCGGCTGTGCTACGAGGGTGCTACCTGGGTGCCTTGGAAACAATGGAATATGATGGAACTGGAACATTTCAATAAATTTCCTAGTGCATTTTGTAACATTTCCTCCAATGGCCGGTGCCTGTTTTTAAATAGGTTGATATCCCCAGCTACACGGTTGTAATCCCAGCCAGGGCTATCTCCCAGGCCAAAACATGGCAGTTCCATATCATACCTTCCCACCATCTGCCAGGCCACCGATTCAACGTGCGGCACACGGCCCCTGCATCTCCAACAGCGGATCTCCCTGCAACATCGCAGGTGAAAGGAAGTTTGTAGCTTTGCCAGCGGCGCCACTGGAAAGTAAATTCACGTCCATCATGTCGCTGCGTATGGAGCCTGGCTTGACATATGCCCAGCAGTATCAAAGGCAATGCAAAATTGCTTGCATGACGCCAAGTGAAAAGCTAGACTCGCTAGACAGTTTGCAAAAAAAGTTGCGACAGTTTGGCCGAGAAATGCCGAGAAGCATGGCTGCGGTGAACTCTATTCGATTCCTCCCAAGCGGTGCGTCATGCATGTTTGCGCATTTTCTGCTAGTTTGCTCAGCAGGAACTGATAGACGAATCCAACCGGCACCAGTCCCAACACAAGCCAAGGGTCGAAAGAATCTCTTCTATTGAGAAGGGCCAGCGAGACTCATCAAGACAGTGAACTACATGATCCAGCAATCGCACTGCAGAATCCATCCTTGGCTATGCTATCTATGCTATCTATGCTCAAGCTATGCTCAAGCTATGCTCAATTTCTCCTGAAACCTCCCAGGAGCCTCCGACTCTGGCCACAACAGGCGATACAAGGTGTGCCATCTGCATCCATCTGCATCCATCTGCCATGCGTACTTCATCGGGCTTCTAGAAAGCCTTCAGGTAATTTCGTGGGACACGCTGTGTCCAAGAATCAAGTAGCGAACTTCTGAAAGATGTTGACCGTCCGAGTCAAGTCCAGCGGAAGGAGCTTCATTTGCACATGGACCACTGCGCTGATAATAGGTTCCTTGTTCGGCATCGACTTAAACACAATTTGGTAGCATTTCCGCGGCTTTCAATTCAAGGAACCTGAAACATAATGCGAAACCAGCTGCTGTAGCCTTGGGCCACTCCTGGAAGCACCAACCTTAGCTCCAGAATATTCCAACAGCTGCCATGTTGGGATGTTGGGCAAGGCTGATGCCAAGATGCTCTTCCCCACGTAGGACACACTTGTCCTTCAAGTGGCAGCCAAAAGGTCCATGTGCAACTGAAGCACATTCCTTGAGGCCCAAGGGCTTGCTGCAAAATTTGCAGAAGGCCAATTCCAAAAGCACACAAAGGTTATAGACACAACTTGACACCAGCCCCAGTTTCTGCACTAAAAGAATTGCCAGCACAAATAGAAGTGTGCTTGCATGTGTGTGTGTGTGCGCGTGTGTGCATGTGTGTGTGTGTGCACTTGAGTGGGTGCATGATGGTGCATGTATCTAATTTGTGCGTCTTCATACCTAGGTATATAGTCCGTAATCTGAGTTCTCATCATGCAATTGCAAGAAAGCGTCCTGTGATCTAACCTGTGCCTTCACTATCTGCATAGCTAAGCCGTGCCCTGAATTCATGCTTAGCCAAGCTTCAGAATGCTCCTCACACAAGCGCAGGCAATCTCCCGCGAGCATCGGCTCGAGAAAATCCTTCTGTTGTCAGCACAAAAAAGTTGACGGGAGGACTTCAGGATGCCAAATCAGTTCTGTCGGAGTTTGGCACCAAAGATCGTGTTTTATCAACGACCCCCGTTGAAAGTGTGCAATTAATTCAAGTTGCCGGCTCCATTTCCAGTTACATGTCTTGATGGCTCAGGAATCTCCTTCACAGATCTGCCCTCATTCTGCACTGGTCTCTCTGTCCAGCGCCATCTTGTAGAAATGTTGACCATTTGCCTCGACAAACGGTGACCGACAAACACCAAGGGCGCCTCAAGGCCACGCCGCAGCCGCAGCCCAGTTGCAGAGCCAAAGACTGGCTGCACACAGCTGCCACGGCCAGGAGCCCGGAACCACAAGTACTTTTTGAGACTTGATAAGTGGCCTCAGGACGAAATCTGACTCTGATGGATTCTGAAAGCTTCTGACGGCAGGAGCTGTTCTTCGCTAAGTCCAAACCGACAAAAACCTCGCACAGACGTGCCTCTTCCAAGTAGAATTCGCTGAAGAATGTAGCATACGCAGAGGAACAAAGACGATGCACCCACGGCCTTCACGCGATAAAATGGTGCCTAAATCACTGATACTGCTTGATAGTCACCTGCAATGCCAAAAACTGGACCTCGAGAAGCTGGGATCGTCGTCAAGATTGTCACCTCATCTTCTAAAATGTCCAAATATGTCCAGCTGAACCGGTCCGCGCATCCACTTGAACATTTCATGACCTTTCAATATAAAATATAGGTCCCGCTCAGTTCTCGACGCAAGTCCTTCAGAAACTCTTGCCAATTCAGACCAGGCGCCGCTTCCTAGCATTTGAACAAGAGCTTAATGATTAATGATTAATGGACACAAAATGACGCAAATGATGGAAGCCAGCTGTGAGAAATGGAAGATTCCTAGTGTTCAATGCCTCGCATGCACACTCTTCGGCCGGAAGTGTGGCATCCAGCCACGCATCAGTATCCTCAGCAATCACCCAAAGTACGCATGCAAATGATCTCAAATGAAACGTCAGTTTCCTTCAGAATGTCTCAAAAGGCCTCGACATGATCAAGTCGCACCTGCTTTGACGCAGACTCACACTTTCAGCGAAGACTCCCAAATTCCTCCATACGAAGATGGATTTGAATACCTTGGTCAGGGGGGGTATCGAAGAACATGGAACATCATTGAACTAAGTGTTCCTCCCTGCTTTGGCTTGTGTATTGAGCTGTCATAAATTCCGCCACGCTACAAGTAAGCAATCGAACTCAAGGAGCCCAAGCTCGCTCGAAGGGCCATGGCTTCATTTTTCCGCCAAATCCACTCACTGGAGGCGGGGTGCTATGCTTGTAGTACAGATTCTCAGAAGGTCTCCCAGTTTGAACTTGAAAGGCCATTTTCATCTTGGGTTCTACGCGTAGAGTGGAATCAGATGGAATCAGTACCACGAGATATGATTCACACCGGTGTCAGTCCTTGTATGGAATCATGAGGCTTGAACCAGGACTCGGCAGCGGCCGAGTCAAACAAGCGCGGCAAGAAGCCCCAGACATCATGAGCAGACCATCATGGATTGATAATCGGTGCGCAAACAAAGATTTTTCATAATCTCTGGCAAACAAACATGATGCCTTCCATTGTGGCCAGGTCTCCATTCTCCAAACTCAGCCTGAACTTAAAGGATCAGGTGAAGAAAAGCTGCCAAATGCTGCCAACAAATCGTATGAACGATAAGTCATGTCTCACTGTGTTGCATGGAAAGGACCCTCCGAAGGGCACAAAGGCCACGGCTGCGTCTGCGATTTTGGATCGTCCAAAGGCCGTAGAACGAAAGTGCGAGTCTGAGCGCGGGCAGGTCCAGATGCAGACATGCCAATGATAGACGCGCTACTCAAACTCTTAGTGCCCCACTCAAATGACAGGTGTTGAACTTTGCGGATTTTAATTTCAAGGTTTGAGATGCCAAATGTGCGAATGAATAAAAGGGGTACCGGCCACGGTACCTGCCCCAAAATCAAGATAAATCTCAAGGCCCAAGCTGATCCTAAGGACAATGAGATGATAAGGGCATCCGAATGCTTGGCATCGAAGCAAGGCCTTAGATGTCCGTAAATAAAGCGACTTTCCGATGTCACAATTTCCCCATGCCCTGCAAATGGGATTAGGCTGTCGGCTCATCATCTGCATGCCAACCAACTGAATCCGTTTCATCCTGAAAGCACATGCTCTGACGGTCTGAGTCTGATTGAAAAAAATACACCTCCAACATTGCAAGTGGCCTCGTACAAGTTTGCATTGCAGGAGTTCGGCCGCTCATTTACGCCACATGCACGACATACCTGCAGGACTTAGGTCAACTGATGTGAATAGAGAGTGCCATGGTCCTGCGATAGGTCAACAAACATTTTAAATGCCATCCTATCGATCCTATCATATCAACAATAGTTATTAACATCCTATCCCGCCATTCCCATCTGAGTTCCCCAAAGCTGACCGCATCGGTGATGTCCAGAAACCAGGGTGGCATGATCATGTTTGGCCAAGACGTGCCGCTGTAGCGATACCTGCGGTGACACTCAGTACTCACTACTCACCTCCTTGGGCCATGGCCAGTGGAATGCACCGTCTTCAGCATTCAAATCACTTAACAGGCAGGGCCAATTCAAACCACTGGATTTTGCATCCTGGGCCCCAACGTGCAGGAGCAACCATCCGCCTGCAATGAATGTCATTTTGACTCATTTTGGCTCTTCGTGCGCGATGGAACACGAAACAAACATCTAGTCGCCAAAAGTATGTATGTCCCCATACCATTGAATGGAGGTTACCTTACGATAGAGTGAATACAAAACGCATCATCAAATTTCGTTAACTATCACATTTACATCGGGATCCTTGTTGACTTGAAATCTCCTTCTATCTTCGTGTCTACATCGCTGGGATCCCAGGCAGTGAGCCAACATGCACTGCGTGGCAAAGGTCGCCCATTCACCTGCCAGTGGAGCATTTTGGGAAGCTCATAGCGGGTGCGCGATAGCCGTTCAAATCCTTCAATAAACCTACTTGAGGCCAAAGGGAAGGGGACGAAAGCTACTTGGGCAAGGAGAGATGTGTATTGAGAGAATATGCGGCGGGACCTTTTGAATGTCATTTTTCAACAAGCTGAAATAAGATACCATTCGATGTTGCTAACACGCTAACAGATTAGACTACATTATATATATAGAGGTAAATTACACTACATTAGGTTTCATTACATTAGATTGGATTAGATTGCATGAAATTAGGTTCCATTACATTAGTTGCATTAGATTAGATTAGATCTCATTGCGTTCATTACATTCATTTCATTACATTATTATATTATATATATATACTATATACATATATATATATAATTGCATTGCATTGCATCGCATCGCATCAACACTCTCCGTGAATATCATCTTGTATATGTGTGCGCCTGGGATGAAGCAAATGAAACCCAGCAGGATGAATGCAGCGGGGTCTGAGCCCCTAGGGGGTCACAGTTATGATAACAGAGGGGGGTGCAAAACCAGTCTGCCCCCAAGTCATTGCTAAAGCAAATCCAACTCCAGCTAGCAAGCTAGCTTTCGTGATTATAAGCAACTACCTACCTCTGCCCCTCAAAATGTGAGGGGCTCATCAACAATAATGCCAATCTCGGACTAGTAAACCCTTGGTTCTTCAATAAGCACCTTTAGGATACCTCTGGGGCGGAACACCACAAGATCCACAAGAAATCAGCCAGAGTTGTTGATCTGCGGTTGGCAGTGTGGGAATATTTAGCCGCATTTTCACATTTGCAAGATTTATATAGATTTAGATCGATTTTGTAATTTGTAAGTACCAATGGGGCAACAGGGAAGGGCGGCCTACAGCGACAGCACAATTCTGTTGGTGTCATCTGGCCTCTGGTCGATCCCAGCGAAGCTCTGAATGAAGCTTGCTGAACCTGACAAACCACCAAGTACCCTCACAGAGCCTGCGTGGGCCAGGCTTAAGCACAGACAATTGCTACCTTTGCGCCGAACACACCTTTTTGATCCGCAAGATGTTGAATGGCATTTGCTGTCTTCATCAAGTTTGCTACCCGGATCTACGCACGCCCTGTGCGCTCACATGTGCTCCTTTCCGACTTCAACCAGATTCCAAGGCACAAATGGCACATCTTCTGCAACATCTTCCACTTCGCCCATGACCTTTGAAATTGCATTGCCAACTCCCTCGAAGAAGCCTTCTTCCTCGGTGCTGTTTCCAGAACTGGAGCTGGTTGTCTGAACGGTTGTCTTGGTGTGATTTCCCTTCACGTCCTTGGATGCTGCCGGAACCGCCTTCGGTGCTTCCGTGGTGGAGGCCTTGGGCTCTGTGGGCTTCACTTCGGCCGCAGAGCTGGGTGCCTCCGTGGCCTTTTGAACTTTTTGCTCACCTACTTCAGTCGACTTGCCTTGGGTAGCCGAAGGCGCCACCTGGCTTGCTGCTTTTTCAGAGCTGTCTGTCTTTGCCTCCGGCTCTGCGGTGGATTTGGGTTCCGGCTTCGCCTCTTTGCCTTGCTTATTTTGTGCTGCTGGAGGCTCCTCCACCGTTTCTTTTGCGGGTTCTGAGCTTTCTTTCTTCACAGCAGCCTCATCCTTTTTTCCCTCAGCATCAACCTTTCTGTTGGCCTCTTCTGAGCTCGTTTCCTTCAAAATCTTTGCCTCTTTCTCCTTGTCTGCTTTGATCTCTGAGGATTTCAGTGCCTTGGGCACTGCATCCAGCGATGAATCGCTCGTTTCAGTCACTTTTTTTCCACTTGATGCAGGTGCTGGAGCTGGAGCTGCAGAAACTGCAGCTGGGGAAACAGCTGAAGCCATGGCTGGAGCTGGAGCCATCGGAGCCACTGGAAGCTGCGAGTCAGGCATTTGTGCAACCGATGCCTTTGATGGGTCCAACTTCACTGCAGGGGCTGGAGCAGCTGCCACTGCTTGCACCGCTGGTTGCGCAGCTGGTTGCACTGCTGCTGGTTGCACCGCTGGTGGTGCTGGTGCTGGTGCTGGAGCAAGTGGCTGTGGCACTGCAACTTGCGGCTCCACAGCCGTCACGGGCTTGACAGGGGGTGCCTCAGATTTCGACATACTCTGCTGATGCGAGAAGGATACTAATCATCATGCAGCATGCATCATCGACCTGTTCTTTTTTACTTGCCAGGGACCATGCACATCTTCGCACATCCTGTGACCACATGCAGCTTTAACAAAAACTGAGACTCAAGAGGACATGACAACTGCAGCTAGGTCACAGCTGCCGGTGGTAAGGCAACAGCTGCAGCAGGTGCTGGTGCGGAAGGGGCTACCACTGGAGCAGCTTCAGCCGGAGGTGCCTTTGCTTTGGCAGCGGGTAGAGTTGACAGCTTGGGACTGCTGGGCTCTGAAGCGACGACCGCATCACCATTCTTGGGAGAGTAGGTAATTACCTGACACAAATCACGATTCTCAGGAATGGGGCAAACAAAACCAATGAAATCTAAAATGTGCCAACCCTCCTGTTGCCCGCACTGGGTCTACATGAGCTTCATTAGCACCAAAAGGGTGGAAACGCATCACACGTGGCTGGCCGACTTGTGTGCCTGATCCTCCGCCTTCTTGTCATGCTGATGGATGTGGATGACAATGTTTTGATTGCTGTCATCTCCCTTGGTGACAGCTGCCACGGCAGAACCAGCCGCAGCAGCTTCACCAGGTGATTTTCCAGCCTTGATGGCATCCGCTGCTGCCATGGCTGCTGCCTCAGCTGCCGCCTCTGTGAAGCCATCCTCAATGGCTTTACCTGCAGCGTTGGCGGAGGACAAAGCAGCAGTCGGGTCGTAGCCCAAGGAAAGGGCCTTTAGGGCCATTTCTTTGGCCGTGGCTGCTGATGCTGGAGTGTTGCCCTGGGCCAACAGAGCTGCATGAACTGCTGCTCCAAGAGCCCCATCCATGGCCATATTCATGGGGAGCCCTTTCTGAATGCTTTGCAAGGCCTCTTTTGCACCAGCAGCTGCAGCAGCTTCTGGAAGACCAAGGTCCAAGAGTGTGACAGTCGCATTGGCTACCTTTGCAGTGTCATGGAGTTTGCAACGAGACATCTTTTGGATACAGCTAAGTATCATGTATTGACTACACATGTGTCCCTTGTAGACTTTCAGCTAGCCATATACAGTAACACTCCATGAGACATCTTAGCTACACGGATCAAGATGAGGCCACTGTGTCCAGAGCAAAGCCAAGACTTTCAAAAAGGGGTCAACACTAGGCTAGCTTCATGAAAAGTGAATTAATGTGCCCGAAGGGCAACAATTGGTCTAATCTTAGTAACAAATACGGCCAGCTTAATCTCATATCTTGATTTCATAGTCATATAGTACAAATGGATAAAAATTGTATAGGCAAACCTTGCCTGTGCAACTTGGAGAAAACTGGTCAGGCTATAGCTTGCTGTAGCCTGAAAAGAAAAACACTACACACTACAATAGCCACTCCTGTTTGAGCTACTCCTGTTTGCGCCAGGGAACTACAGCGAGGCTACAGCCAATGTGGCCGTGAACGGTGTGCCACCCCAAATGTGGATTTCGTCAATCCAAATGAAAGTTTAACCATACAAAAATGTGGTTGAAACTGGTCACTCTTGTCAAGAGACAATCATGGAGTCTGCAAGGGACACATCTTCTGCAAGAGATTTTAGCACTGACGACGTGCAGCTTGCAAAGAGCTCTTTGGGAGGTGCAATCTCCTCACAGATCTTCTGCGCGTGCTCTGCATCTGGATTGGCTGCAGCAGGGGCTGGTGCTGGGGCAGCCAACTTGACTGCTGGAGCAGTGGTAGGTGTTGGAAGTATCGCCAAGGGCACCATTGGTGGCTGCATGGGATACATCGGCATCATTCCAGGCATCATTCCGGGCATCATCCCTGGCATTTGAGGCATCCCAGGCATCCCAGGCATCCCAGGCATCGCCACCATCACCGTTGGGCCTGGGGGACCTGGTGGCCCTGGAGGTCCATCTGGACCATCGGGTCCCGCATCTCCCACCTGGCCTTCAGGCCCAAGGTCAGGTTGCACCCCATCCAGCGCGGGTGAAGGGGCAGGTGCTGGTGCTGGCCCAGGTGCCTGGCGCAACCAGCTCTGCAGAGGAATGTAGATGGAACAAGGAAATGGTGATGAACAAACAACAACGGGTTCATAAGTGTGGCCATGGTAAGGGCACACAAATAAAGGATCATATATCATGATATATCTGTAGTCCTTAGCTAGAACCATCATCACAAAATTCTACCCTAGCCCTTATGCGTCTCTCAAGCCTTCAGACGCCTCACTAACTCCCGCCTGAGAGAGGGCAAGGCTGCCACGAAGTGTCAGCCCATTCTCACCATGAAGAGCCCAAACTTGGGAATACAGCAAGTAGAGCAGCCACAACGCGTGGCACTTCATTGTGGACTGATTCCCTGCAATGGGCTGGGAATCATCTTTGAGCCAATGGGCTCCTGATGGCGGCAAGCAACTTTCATCTGTCATCAACTCTGACTTGTCATGGACATGTTGTGCCACTGCAATGGCTGAAGCTGGGGCAAAGGAATATTCTGAAGCCTCTGTTTCTGATCCCTCTATTGCTGAGTGCCGAGCCAGTCACGAAGCATTTCCCTGGAGAATGCGCCGCTCCTTTCGGATGAACTATGATGCGTTGGACTTGGTTACACGAAGCTCAAACTTCGTGCAGGAATAAATATACATGTCTGCAGGCTGCTACTTTGCGTGCCATCTGTGCTCGGTGTGCTGTCTGTACTCTTGCAGTCTGTTTCTATGCGCACAGGACCTGCCTCTCTTCTTGACCTCCATTGAGTATGAGTCTATCTAACTTTCTGCTTCCAAGCACTTCGCTCAGAGAACCAGTCGCCGGAAGAAAGATCCGACGGTGCCATTGCCAAGGACAATGGAGGACACTGCGAGGGTCAGCATAGCAAGATACAGAAGCGAACAGCCGAGGGCCACAAGCATGGCTGCGTCAACATGTGCCATTTCTACTCTCAAAGGATCAGCCACATACTGAACGAAAGTGTGTCGACTCTGGGTTTGGATGGATCTGCCGAAGGATGCTTGCTGGAGCCTGACCGCAGCTTCCAGGTCTTCAGCACTGGGCCCTGAGAAGGTATCCCGCAGCAGGGGCGGCAGAATATCTGCAGGCTCGGGCAAGACCATGCCATAGCGAGCAGCTGGATTCCCAGCATCATCACAGTTGAAGCTTCCCCGATGCCTGCAGCAATTCATGCCATAGGCAAACAAATTCGCAGGCGATCCGGGCCGCATTGACACGTCGACCACTGGTGCTACACAAATCAGATTGCCAGATGCAGATTGAAATCCAACAGATCTGCTTCGGTCAACCATGCTGCCGACAGCAAAGCTTATCACGCCAGCATCCTGGGCACTGATCGGCAAGGGAGACACCTTAAGGTGCTACCCCCGGAATAAGGATTGCCGCCTCTACAGCCTCTACATATACATTTCGTCTTAGTGTGCATTGTTGCCACATGCTGTGCTGTTTCCAGTTAAAAAATGGGGGGTATGTTGGGTAAAGTTTCAAGGGGCCACATATCCAAGAATCCAGAATGCTCTCCGCAGACTGTGAAGGCACGACGCTGTTGTATGTGGCCGCACTCTTGTAGTGGAAGTAAAACACCATGCTGGAGTAGTAGATGGCTAAGCCTGGCAGCCACCAAGATCACCATAGTTTGCAAAGGAGCTTCTGCCACATATATAGTCAAACTATGTCAAACTTATCCCATGCGAATTGATAAACGCGAAAGCTTCCCGGAATCCCACCTACAATCAGGCCACTGACTGTAGATGCCAGAATCAACTTGGCGAGCCGCTGTCGCCAGATCTGTTTGTAGCTCTTCATCGCCTTGCTGCTGATGACTGCACTGCTGCACGGGTTCCGTGTGGCTATCCTAACTTCGTCTCGGCTAAGCTGCAGACCCAGAGGCTTGCCATCAGCAGAGAAGAAAGAAGAATCGTCACAACAAAGCAGTGCCAATGCCAGAAGCGATTCACCAAAAAGAGGACCGCCTCAACAAAGCATCGAAAGCATTGTTCCAAATTCTGTTAAGTGTCGTCTCAACTGTTGTGTTCAGTTGTTTGGAATCGACTTGGTCGCGAAATAAGCCAGCGACCATGAACGTGAACTGTGGAGCAGGAACGAGGGTTAACCTCAACTGTAGAGTCTGACCTAGTCGGACCTAGTCGGACTACAGGCTGCGTCAAATGCAAAGGTGAGAACATTCAAGGACAGCCCCATCCTCTGAATCTGCCAAGCAGCAAATGCCACCCAAAGTTCCGCGCAGTCACAGAGGAGAAGAATGCCTGTACAAGCTTCGTCCAAGATCCAAGGATGTATGATGAGTGTGGTGCGTACGGTACGTGCGGGCAACTACTCATGCCTTCTGCTTGTCGGCCGCGGTGGCCAGCTTGTTCTGGTTAAAGTCTTAGCACTTGGAAATTGACTTCAAGGCTAAACATGATTCAAGGCGTTTCGATACTCAAATTCAATCAAATTGAGCTCTATTATGCGGGCTACATTCGGCTAGATCGCAGCCAAGCCGCTTCCAAGCAAAGGTTTGGCTTCATGCTCATCACGGGCTTCTAAATCCATGAATTGGCCTGCACAAACTCAGCTTCAAACAAAACCATGTTGCAACAAAAAATTGGGCGCACCTGCACGCCCAGCCGGGCCAAACCAACTTCAATGTATCGGGTGTGCTCTGGGAGCAACTTGAGCCCAACGCGAAGATACGGAACGCGCTCGAAACCAAAGCAATCACACCACTAGTACCACGTGAGTATAATATACCATGAAAAACGATGAAAAACGTCTGATGAAATCTTACCATTGTATCAAGACTTGGTGCGCCGTGCAGGTGACAACTGGCGCAGGTATAGAGCAGCCGCCATGGCCCTGCTCCTGTATGAAACGAAACTTCTTCTCTCGTGGTCTTCAATGATTGTTATCCAGCCGCTTGCCATACCTCGGCACTGGCAATACTGAAACTTCGAACCAACACATGATTTTGCATGCCAAGCTCCAGACCACTTTCCCGAGCTATCGGTCCAACTCGGCCAGCAAATAGCAAAGGGACCTAGAAATCGGGGTGATTGATATCCAGAGAGTAGAAAGAGGGAGGACACAGCCCGTGGGAAGCAACATCAGCATGAGATGTTCCGGAAAAAGGAACAAGAACGGAGAAAAGAACCTGAACTTGCCGCAAGCGTGACAGGGCAAGGGATCCAAATAACACCATCGGGCAGGCATGACTACAAGACACCCCAAGTGTGCAGGGGGCCTCTTCCAAGCTCTTTTCCGGCAAGGACAGACCTGGTCGCTTCCGTCCATGGCTCCTGCCAGGAGACGATAAGTTGCCACCTATCGGATTTCAGTGTGCTGGGGAAAATTATGTCCAAAAACTACAGGAAATGTTTACCATCGATGATGGGCCTCTCCCAGTTGTAGGTAGTTATCACCCCCAGGTACATCTTGGAGGGATTGCTGGGGCCCATCATGGATGCTGCACTCTGTTGCACGTATTTCTCATACCATTGCAGCCCACCTTGGTCGGCTCAAGCCTAAGATCTGGCTGAGTGGCTGAGCGCCACCGGTGCTATCCATATCTCTATCGACTCTATCCAGCGCCATCGGCTGCCATCGTTGCTGAGGCCTCCACCGGGCCTAGACTTCACGGCTCTGGGTGCTCCAGCGCTCTTCGGCCTCCGTTGAATTGCTGTGTCCCAGCCAGATCTTCAAGAAGTAGGAACCCCATGGCAAATTGGCTCAGAATCCATTTAGAAGCCTTTTCGTTGCGCATGCTGGAGAAAGATCATCACTGGTAACAAATTGGCTTGTCAAGCTCACCCGCCTTGCGCGACCCATTTTGGCTTTGCTTCCAGACCGGTCACGCCTGCACATGGCACATCACCAATTGGGAAATATAATATGTATATATATATGCATATGTATATGTATATATATGTATCTATGTATCTATGTATCTATGTATCTATGTATCTATGCATCTATGTATCTATGTATCTATGTATCTATGTATCTATGTATCTATGTATCTATGTATCTATGTATCTATGTATCTATGTATCTATGTATCTATGTATCTATGTATCTATGTATCTATGTATGTATGTATGTACTGTATGTATGTATGGTACGTAGGTACGTAGGTACGTAGGTACGTACGTAGTACGTAGGTACGTAGGTACGTAGGTACGTAGGTACGTAGGTACGTAGGTAGGTACGTAGGTAAGGTAGGTACGTAGGTAAAGGTGATGTAGGTATGTAGGTATGTAGGGTATGTAGGTATGTAGGTATGTAGGTATGTAGGTAGGTATGTAGGTATGTAGGTATGTAGGTATGTAGGTATGTAGGTATGTAGGTATGTAGGTATGTAGGTATGAATGTATGAATGTATGAATGTATGAATGTATGAATGTATGAATGTATGAATGTATGAATGTATGTATGTAGGTATGTATGTATGTAGGTATGTATGTAGGTATGTAGGTGTGTAGGTATGTAGGTGTGTAGGTACGTAGGTATGTAGGTACGTAGGTACGTAGGTATGTATGAATGTAGGTATGTATGAATGTATGAATGTATGAATGTATGAATGTATGAATGTATGAATGAATGAATGTATGTATGTATGTATGTATGTGTGTCTATGTATGTATGTGTGTCTATGTATGTATGTGTGTCTATGTATGTATGTGTGTCTATGTATGTATGTGTGTCTATGTATGTGTGTCTATGTATGTGTGTCTATGTATGTGTGTCTATGTATGTATGTATGTATGTATGTATGCATGCATGCATGTATGTATGTATGTATGTATGTGTGTCTATGTATGTATGTATGTATGTATGTATGTATGTATGTCTGTGTGCATGTATGTATGTATGTATGTATGTATGTATGTATGTATGTATGTATGTATGTATGTATGTATGTATGTATGTGTGTCTATGTATGTATGTATGTATGTATGCATGCATGCATGTATGTCTGTATGTACGTGTGCATCCATCTAACTAACCAACCAACCAACTAACCAACTAACTAATCTAACTAATCTAACTAATCTATTTAACTAACTAACTAACTAACTAACTAACTTAACTTAACTTAACTTAACTAACTAACTAACTAACTAACTAATCTATCTATCTATCTATCTAGCTATCTATCTATCTATCTATCTATCTATCTATGTATCTAATCGAATCGAATCGAATCTATTTAATCTATCTAATCTATCTAATCTATAAAATCTATCTAATCTATCTAATAGAATTTATCTAATCTATCTAATCTATCTAATGAATCTCATCTATCTTATCTATCTTATCTATCTTATCTATCTCACCTATCTAATCTAATCAATCTTATCAATCTAATCTATCTAATCTAATCTAATCTAATCTAATCTGTCTAATCTAATCTATCTAATCCATCCTATCCTATCCTATTCTACCCTATCTTATCTTATCTTATCTATCTATCTGTGTATCTATGTATCTATGTATGTAGGTATGTACGTATGTATGTGGCCCAGTGTCTGGGGGGGCGACCATGCACATGCACGTGCACACACTGGACAAATGTATTGTAAATCGGGGAAACAAATGAACGACATCCGAGAAAGTGGAGACTGCAGTTATACCTGCACCCTCAGAATGGGCGGAGTGCATGCACTGCAGATGTTCAGATGTCATGGGCTCTGTAGACTCTACGGGATGCTACGGGATGCTACGGGATGCTACGGGATGCACCTGCGTCTGAGCAATGACTTGGACCTTCTTCGGGACCTCGATCTTTCGGTCCTTTCGGTCCCTGCAGTGACCATCCAGCCATGTCCAAACAGAACAATTCAGAACAATGATGATCAATCAATCAATATATATATAGAAAAAATGTAAATAGCATGACTATTGGCTATTGGTGTGTGAGAGTGCATCTCTCTGTGCGTGTGCGCGTGTGCATTTGTATTTATATGATTTTATATGTACTGTACATGCTATTAATGTGTACATCTATATGTATGATTATGTATGATCACGTGCAACAATATGAAACATGTATTCATGTCCACGTGCATTGCTGCGTTGGTACATGATATATATGTACATCCCGTATATCCGGTGCATCCAAGTTAGCTACAGGCTTCGCAGCACACTCTCAAGTTCGACCCAGCACTGCATCCTTTTCTTGGCAGCATCTTTGGCTCAGCATTTTGAGGTGAAGCCTTCAATCCCGACGCTAACTAAGAGTCAATCGGGCATTCTGTCCTCGAGGCCTCCAAAACTAAGGTTGATCCACTCATGGTCAAAGCTTAAATTATCAGGATAATTCTGGTCAGCATTCGATACGAGAGGCATAGAAAAAAGTTGTCTTATATATACTGTAAAGTTTAAACTGCCAGCATTAACACATGCAATAGTCAACCACTGAAATGACTTGCTTCGCTTGAGAATGGATCATGACCCATCAGCATCCCACCTGCTCCATGAAGAACCGATGTTGAACCCAAGCTCAAGGTTCTACATGTTCTACCGATTCTACCATCAAGAGGGACTCTCACCACCCAGAGGTGTTCCTCCAGTTTTTTTTACCTTGAGCGGCTTTTTTTGGCGTCACGACCGAATGCAGCGAAGACTGTCCAAACACAGCAGCCACAGGCTGCCCCGGCCGCAGCCGCAATACCCGCAGGGTGATGGACAACAACTGTCTTCACCACTGGGTGCGTGTATCCCAGCCATTTCCACAAGCCAAAGCATCCTTGGTCACTCACATGCACAGTTTTGTGAGTTGAAGTCACCAGGCCAACTGTTGCGGATGTAACGGCAGATGAGGCAGCTGTACTCAACAAGGCGACATGGCCTGTGGCACGTCGCACTTGCATGCTGCCGCCGTTCCCTCGCGTACAGTCATTGGCAAAGGTCTCACAGTTGTACCAAAGGAGGCTGTACCCCCTCTTTTCGACCAAGGCAGCCTCAGCCTTAGCCAAACATGCTGCACTATCTGCAGGCCTCTCATACAACTGGTACACACTCAGTTGGTTGTCTGACAAGCACTTTTCAACGACACCACGGGCTCGAAAGGAGTTCTCGATAATCAAATGTCCATCGGCACATCTCTGCTTGTAGATCAGGTGATGATCATAGAGCTTGCCACGAAAACGCCCGCCCATCTTCCACAAATGATCCCCCGGTTCGAAGCATTGGAGCATTTGAATGGTCATTTGCTACAAGGGAACGGTTTCTACATGTTTCTAATTACTCTTTGAACTTGCAGCCCAAATTCTGCTCAAATGTATTGTCACCAACTGCTTTGAAGTGCCAGAAAACCGAATTTCGTCACCACAACATGGGCACCTGTCACGGTGTGATTTGCCCTCGCCTCTATCCCGCTGACCACGGGCTGGAGATCCCTTCCGATCTCCCTGCCTTCTCAACCTACGTGGTGCAAACTGCAAGATTTGGGCCGTCCAGTGCCACAGTGCCAAAGCAGACCGCTCTCACCGCTCTGCCTGGCAACTTTCTGCTTTTCAATGAAATTCCTCAGTTCCCGCAAGCAGGACGGATCATGACAACCTTACCCGGGACATCCTGAGACTCTCTGTATTGAAATATGGAAACCTTGCAGTCTGCGACCCGGTGAGGAGCGCGCGCAGCTTTCGCGACGATTGCGCTCAAGTCTGGCTGTTGCCTCAGTTCTAGACATGATGCTCCCAGACAACGTTGTTCCCCGAAGGGAAATACCAGAACTGCCGCAGATGAATGCGGAGTCAACCTCCATAAATCAACCAAATCAGGCAGAGATCCCAACACCTCCTGTCCGCCACCAGAGAGACCTGGCAGTTAGGCCACAGAGCCGTCAGGAACAGCTGAGAAATGCCGAGGAATCCTCTCGCCTCTCGCGTTTGCAGAGAATGCGCCAGGACCATCAGCCTCACATGTCCACGAGGAAAGAAAGGGGTCAAAATGGTTGGGAAAAAACGTTTCCCACGATGAGGCCTGCAACTCCACGGAACTATTGCGCAAGAAACATGAAGAAACGATTGAAATTGCGCAATATATCTTCATGTATCTTCTCATGTTCGGCATCACCAGCATAGTCCAAAGCTTGCCATGCATAGTGGGCACGTAGCTATGGAACACCAATCTCCCTTAAGGCACCAGAAAAACAGAATAAGTAGCATGATCCACGATGATCCACGATGATCCACAATGATCCACGATGATCCATGATGATCCATGATGATACATGAACTCACCCCGGTTCGGCCTGCGGTGCGAGCTGTGGTTCGCTGGCAGTCCCGTGGCTCAGGCTGTGGCTTGGGTTTCCAAGACGCAAGAGCTCCTGCAAAGACCTCAGGGTACATTGGGTACATTCATGTTACATGGTGGCACTATCGAGGTTTCCCCAACTCGTGGCCGTGGCCAGACATAGCTATCCGATTGAGAAGAACTCTAATGGAAATAATCCCTGTCAACATTGATTTGACCCAAGGAATCTTGCTTTTGACAGCGGCTTTAGCTACCAAACAACGACCTGAGGATCTGGCATGGCAGAGGGTTGGGCGCAAGGCCCTACGAACCCTGCGCCATTGCAGCACGCAACCCTGCTGTCTTGGGCCCAAGAGCAAAGAACAAAAAGGATTCATCGGTTTGCTCAATTTTGCTCAACTTGTTGGCACGAACACGTTTCAAACGTTTCAAACGTTTCATTACAATCTGTATCCATCTGTATCCAAGTCTTCCTTTGACCAAGTTGATCAAATGCTGGTCTTGCAGCACCAGCAATCCGCAGAGATTCGCTGGCTGATGCTAAGAGGTCCAAAGCCTTCAAAATTGATTTAGGAAAATTAATTTCAACATGTCACTTCTTGACAAAGAGGATTGGTGGGCACCTGACAAGCCAACAAAATGCACTTTCAGTGACTGCAACATGGACAAAAAGCGTCAAAAGCAATCGAAAGTTGTCAAAAGTTCATGCTCCACTTGGTCACATCCAGCCTTGTGGCAGCTCTCAGTATCCCTGAACATTCTTGGACATCCTATCAGGGAAGGCTTCATCCATCCTGAGATGAAAGCTCGAGCCCAGCAGGGAAACTCCGTGACAATTCCCCAGTGATTTCCGGGGGCTGAGGAGGACACGCTCTGTCAGCCCAGTACCGAATCGTGTCATCAATTTGAATCAAATCCAATTCCTGGAGCTCCCAGGTGCTGTGAGGTGCCACATTGATTCTTTGGATGACCACTTTCTGAAAAGCTGGTGCGCCAGCAACCTTGCCTGTTCAAAAACCAATTTCACAGACTGCAGGAGGTCCCTCTCAGCACGCCGAATGTCATCCTTGAAGTTTGATGCGTTCAGTGCTTGGTGCGAAACAACCAGTCAGTGCACACTCAAAATGTTTTTGCGCATTCCTGTGTCCAGTTTCTCATCAGCATTGAATCAAGGTAAGTTTTACACTGCAGCCCGCGCTAAAGGGCTATCAGGAGAGGTTCCAGTAGCCTTCAAAGTGGCATAGACCCTCTCTGCCAGAGGTTAATACAGTAGGTGCTGCAACCATATATCAGGTCTAGTGCGAGCTTTGACATAAAGTTTCATAGAGTATACTCAATATGTTACTCTTTCTTATCCCCGGACCTCATGCTGAAATCGTTCCAATTCGTTGGAATTTGGCATGCAGTGCATGCAGTGCATCTCTTTTGCTGCATCGAGCTGCCCTTAGGGCGCTGTTCCAGGTCCAGCTGGTCACGTATTGTGTTCGAATGTGTGCCCGTGTGCAGTGCACCAGTTCTAAAACGGGCCACCTAGGCACTGCCACTTGCATGGCCCGTCAGGACCCACTTTGGGGGCCTTTCAGCCAAGGGTGCACCAAGACAGATGTAGCATCCGGTCTCTCATTGGGGTCACCAGCCAAGAGCTTCACCAGCAAGTCCTGGGGCCCAATTGGCCCAATGCAAAGGTCGCAAGAATGAAAAGCAAGAGAGTCCGAAGGGAAATAAGACTACACATGACTACACGTACAAATACGCAGTACTTCACTGTACTGCATGCGTTTATCCTATGCATGGATGTACGGAAAGGTGAGATGTGTTGGGATGAGGATATGCTTGGACTTGCCATGCCAATGGCTACGGGGAGAAGCCCGAATTTTTTGTTCGGGACACAAGCCTCAGAAAATAAGAAACAGCCAACAGTTTGCGAACTGAGGTTGTGGCCTTCGCTTCATCTGACAGCCTTGGTGCGCTGTTTGACAATTGGACTTCACTACCTGTCCGTAGTCTGGAGTCGTAACATGTCTCTATATCTAGTTATATCTAGTAATTCTAGCACGTGTATATATATATATATATGTGTGTGTGTGTGTGTCATGTATATTATGTAGTACGTCTGGTATACTATCTAACTTAGGTGTAAACGCACAGAGATGATCATGACATATCATGACTAAAGCCAAAGAACGCCTCGTACGCTGCAGTTTTGTAGAATCTACCTTGCTCTCGGAGCTCAATGCCAGACCTCGTCTGAGCATCGTCATGGAAGGGCGGGCTTCGCACAAGCATCACATAGAGGGTGCAACCCAAGCGCCACCTGGTCTGTCTTGTTTTAACTGCAGGGGAAAATTATGTAGTTAGTTGGAGTTGGCATGGTTCAAAAGAATTAATAAAAACATAATAGTACGTATAGAATAGCAATGATATGTGTGGGTGTGGGTGTGGGTGTGTGTGTGTGGGCGCATGTGGATGTGGAGAAGTGCGCCAAAAAAAAAGTATACAGTGGATTCCAAATGGCATCACGCAGAATTCAAAATCTTCTGTTCACCAAGAACATTCAAAAGACATATGAATACATATGGATCTGTTTATGTGCTATATACAGTTATATACATGTATAAGCCTAAGAGAGGAGACAACTTATACAAAATATTTCTAATTTTGTCTCCTGGCCACATATCGGTGGCCACACTTGGCGCCAAACCAGGCGAAACTGCGAGCTCTGGGGGCATGTACCTGTCATAAACCACACACGCGCGCGTCTCGCTCTCCTTCACGAACTCGTGGAAACAGGAACATCCGAAGTCAATGAGTTTCAAATGCGCCGTTCCAGCGTCAATGTCACCCAAAACCATGGCGTTCTCTGGTTTCACATCGCAATGGATCACCTTGTTACTGTGTAAATGCTGCAAGCCTTCAACCAAACCGAGAAACAACGGCTGAGCTTGCTCCTCTGTGAGAGAGCGAGCACAAACAACATCAAACAGATCCCTTCCGGCCAAAAGTTCCATCAGCACGAAGATGTTCGTTTCTGATTCAATGACACGCTTGTAGCTCACAATCCGTGGATGCTTTCCAAGCAAAAGTCTCTGAGCATACAAATCGTGCATAATGGACCTCCTCTGGCTCGGGTTGCTCATGGTATACATCTTCAACGCAAATTCCTCTCCAGTTTCAAGCTCCTTGCAGCGGTATGCACAATCTCGTCCTTCACCAATCTTATGCCTTGTGGAAGTCTCGAACAACAACAGCTTGCCCTCCTCAATGGTGCCGAAAGTGATTGTATCCTCAGAAGCTAATAGTCAAATATAGTCAACCCGTCTCAATTCGACCAAAGCATGGCTGAGTACACCATTGGGGAACCCTTTCTCAGGAACAAAATCACTCAAGTTCAATGCGACCAAGGTGACCAAAGGAAATACTTTGTCAAAGCTTCTTGCAAAAAACATGGCCATCCATGCCATCCTTGAGCCCTCTCATTTAACCCGAGATGCAAGGCAGAAACCTACATTGCTTCTGTGGCAGAAGCCTTGCTGGGCACCATCCTCGACAAAGCGCTTGGTGCCAGAGCCGCTAAAAGCATCCAAACCTAGGAGGACATGTTGACCGGGGATGAGACGGATGAGACGTTCATGATCTCAGAATCATTGAATACTTGACAAGCTACTAAGCTATCATCAAATCCCTTTCCTTCTAGGGGATGTAAGTTGGGACTGGTTGGAACTGGTGCTTCCCAGGCTTCCCAGGCTTCCCAGGCTTCCCAGGTACCCTTGATGCAAGTCATCATACTGGCCATCTTCGACTTGACATTGTTTGCCTGCTTCATCGCCTGTGGAGGTCGTTCCGGGGCAAATTTCAACACAAGGGGGTGTGCCATATATGCGGCTATATATATATATTATATGTGTATATATATATATATTTTATTTGATACGCCATGGAGGTACCATGAAATATGGACTAAAGATGGATAATTAGCTATAGGTAAAGGAAATATCTTAGATAGCAGTATATAAAATGTGCATTTAAAAAAAAAAAAGGTCATTCTCATCTTCCAACCAACTTGGTGCCAGTGATGGCCTTGCCTCTTCGGCTGCATTTTGCCACTTGGAGACTTCGGCTTGTAGCTGATCAGTGGCAGCTCGCTGCTGCTCGGTCACCTCTTCTAATCGCGTGGATAGTCCTCAGGTGTGGAGAAGCCATGTAGTAAAGCCATCACACGAAACCATCAGACTCCCAATTACAAGAGTCTCTTCGTCATTTTGGAATGATACTGCAGAAGTAGCTGCCACTGGAAGGGAATGGAACAACCGCCCATGTCCAACCAGTCTTGATGCAAATAAGTGGCTGCTCAGCTCCGAAGAGCGGTCTTCAGACGTTGATGGAGAGGAAGCCTCGATCTCTCTGATGTTTTTTTCCAGTCTGGACCGCTCATCAGAGAGGTCGCCCAGCTGTTTATCCAGTTTGGAACATTTCGACTGCATGCGATGGAACTGCACCGCTCCACGAAAGGAGCTTTGCAGCCAGCGCTTTTCCAAGACGTCGGACTGCCCAACAATGTAGTATAATCCAATCCCAGTAACCTTGGATTTCTCACAATTGACAAACGCACTACATTTGCACCCAGAGTTCCTCCAAAAAGAGACTTGGATGATCTTGCATGTACAATAACAAAAACCTGGGGACACGAGCAAACAGCCTGAGAAACCCAGCGAAAAGCAAGAAGAAAGGAGGAAGAAGAAGATAGAGCGATGGCCGCCGCCACCACCACCACCAACCACAACAAACAAAATCATTCTGATTTGTCTACTGTTCTTACTTCATATTCTTATGTGTGTATAACTGTAATATATATATAATTATATGTGTGTGTGTGGTAGTGGTAGTGGTAGTGGTAGTGCTAGTGCTAGTGCTAGTGCTAGTGCTAGTGCTAGTGCTAGTGCTAGTGCTAGTGCTAGTGCTAGGCTAGTGCTAGTGGTAGTGGTGGTAGTAGTAGTAGTAGTCGTCGTCGTCGTCGTCGTTGTTGTTGTTTATTTACTTATTTAATCTTATTTATTCATTCATTCTTCATTTTGAATGTCATTATTGGACTCACACTCACACTCAAGCAACCACAAGAAGATCGGCAAAGAAGCACGCCACTGGGGCCATTATAGATTTCTCCAAGCGACAGTGCAAAGGACCAAATCAAAGAGCCAGCTGTTTCCGGCCTGTGCTGCTTGTTTGATGCGCTCCGACACAGCTGGCAGCCCGGATACGATGCTCAAAATCCGGGTCAGCTCAACATCATCAAAGCCATCCCCCTCATCATCGACTCGACCAAACATCCGGCCCACTTGGTCCTGGATACCAGGCCGAATCTTTCACACATGGACAAAATCAAGCTTTCATGAACTTTCCGTTGATTTCATACTCATGACAAAAGGCTGGCATTCACTGAGGCGAGGAGGCTGGCATTCTGAACGTTTCAAAGTGCTCCTGGTTCACGTCCACACCATTTGCTTGAAGGAGTGATGCTAGCTCCTGCAGCTCTAGCTGGGGCTGTTACCTTCGGATCCATTCCTTCGTTTCAAAGGAAACGCATGTCGAAAAATGCCTTTCTATAAATTCGCTATCTGAATATGTTCGATAATTGGCAATGATAAGAAGAAAAAATGTACTCTCAAGGGACGAGATAGCTTGTCGCATTTCCACGCTCTGGCTTCAATTTCAACTCTTAATTGTATTATATATAATTATGTATATATATATATATGTGTGTGTGTTAATATATATATAGTCATAAGTATTCGCTTTCTGGATTTGGCCGAATGAGTTACTGACTACCGCCTACCGCTGTGATGTCACCATATCTCCATGCCTGGTCTCCTACCATCCCACAAGTCCCCCACACGAAGGATTCAACAGAAGTGCTCCCGCTCACGTCCTTAGATGAAAGATGCTGGTCTTGTCCAGCATCAAAGGCTGCCATGAGGTCTGCAGTCCTTCGGTACTCCTGCACCTGGACAGTGTCACCATGGTCGATGAGTTAGTGATGAACCAGGCGGTCGATGGAGTCCGAGTATTGGCTCACCCTAACAGGACATCATGACATGCCTCGCCTGGTGCCATACTCCTCTCACAACACATGCTCCGAAGACTGCCATGGCTGCTATCTTCCGTGGTTTCTTCATACCACGAGACACCTTGGTCCCCAAGGCCCAAAGGGCCCCATCTGTGGGCATATGGAAAACACGTGATAAAGCCTAAAGAAACATGGCAATGCCATGGTAGATATCCAAAAGCTTTGAGTGTCTTGAAACTCATCTCTGATCCAAGGCACCTCCTTTGAAGAGCTCATCAGCCTTCTTCTGGCAGGTGAGAAGTCTTTCGGCGATTCGGATCCCATGACGGATGAGAATATCCTTTTTCGCAAGGGCAACGACAGGTCAATAGAATCCACCATTGCAGCAGGCCTACTGCAAGTGGATACACCAGAGCTATGGACCAATGTGAAGTTTGAACCGATATTGCTTCCGTCCAGAGTGCGCGTGGATATGCGTGGATCATTTTCAAGAATAGTCGCTGCATGTTTACCTGCTGCATTTGGTGTCTAGATCTTTCTTACCTTCTGCAAGTTTGCATTCATCACATCTGTTCAGGGGCGAGTTTGACATGTTTGACCACCAAAAGCTGCAGCCCAAGCCCTGCCTCCAAAGCATCAAATCGATCTAACCATCTGTCGCACTCAGCCATGGCTTGTTGGCAGACCAGGATCTGCAGGCAGATTCCATCAGAACATGCAATACCTGGGCGCCTAGGCGCCTCCGCCTAGGTTTCAAACCATTTCAAACCTTGTGCCTATTTGTGCCTCATTGTTCCTGGAGAGACGGAAGTTGCAGTTGTACCAGAAGCGTTCGACGTATACCTGGAACCCCAAATGACTCAAGGAGATAGGAAGGCCCTCGAGGTGACTTCACGCATAGCAACATTAGCAACGAGGCAGGCGAGTGTCAGGTTGCCACAGCGGGATCCAACTGACCAATTCTGAGCACCACACAGCATCCAGCAAAAAAGAATCCGTTCCACCGCAAGTTTGGAAACGCAGAACTTGCACCATCTGCGCATCAGAATCTTCAAAGATACTCAAAATCCACACAATGCAATGCATGTGGATACAATGTTCCTCAGAAGGCATCTCTTTGCAAGCTTTTCTCATCTTTTCTCTCCATTTGTCTTTCAGATTCACAATGGAACTCAATGCGCGGCGCCTTTTCCAGCTCGGATTTCCGTTCCCACTCATCGGTCTCTCGCGGCGCTAAGATTCCTTCAGAGCAAATCAGCAACAGTCACTCTATGTCGCTGTCGTCACTCGTGCATGTGCTGCCAAGCTACCGTCGGAAAGGCTGAAGGTGAAGCTGAGTGGAGCTGTGGTCAAGCCTAAGTCCTGACAGCATGCAGCATTGAAACACTGTGCGGACTGTGTGCGAGCAACTCACAGTTTTTTTCCACTGATGCGTTCGAACTTGATGCCATCTCCTCCAGGCAGCTCTCCTTGACTCCCAGAAAATCGTCCTGATGCGCTGCAATTTGGCACTGCAACTGCATAGCAAACAGAACATGCAAGCTTGCCCCCAAAGTCCTCGTCGTCCACGGGAGAAATGGAAAGCTGCATGGCAGACTGGCAGGGGTCAGAAAGGCCCACCATGAAGCAAAGAAAGCGAAAAGCGAATGAAAAATAACAAAAGCATACAAAAAGCACTAACAAAAGGATAGAAAAGGATAGAAAAAATGAAAAGTCGGTGCTGCACGGTTGTCGCAGAGCCTCTGCCAGCTCTCCTCTCAGCCAGTTCGGCCTCGAGTGTTGGGACGGAGCTAGGTTGTCTAGGCAAAGCAACAGGGAACGAAAACGTCCAAGTGCCCGGCACAAAGCCATACCGCTCCAAGTAGCCACCAGCATGAGGCTTTGCCCTCGGCAGGGCATTTGGCATTTCATGCGCTTATGAAATTCCGCAACCTGAAATGGACAGCCTTCAATCTGAGATTCCAGCAAGTAAGCCATCGTCAACTCCATCCCTGCCTCCCATCCGTTTGCTCTTGACCACTTTGAAGCAACTAGGTCGACTAGCAGCTGTCTAGTGGCACTGAGGTTGTGCCTCAATATCTTCCACAGCCTTCACTTTGATTCCCAACTCAGCCAGGCTAACAGGTCAGGGACGTTCCATTGATTATGTTTGTTGGAGCACGTGTGACCCCAAACCCTAGTCTTCTACTTTGTTTACTTTATCGTCCATTCTGTTTTTTCAAGTCGTCTACTACTCAATGATGCTCAACTTTAGCTGCTAATCATTGCCCACTGCAAAACAGCATTGCCAGATCAGGGGCAAACTCGAATCCTCTTCGATTCTGAGGCATCAGCAAGCTTCTCTGGGCCCTGGCCACCCAGGCCCATGACAGCACCTTCCTCCGGGAAACAAACAACAGCAAGTCCGGAAAGCTTCCGGAGAGAGCTTTCAAAAAAACAAACATAAAAAGATCAGAACCATTTCAACATCTGAACAGCCTACAACCAGTTGAGACCTTCATTCATTGTGTCTGTTTATGATGAAGAATATCAACTAGGATCATCCATATGCACGCCTTCCCATAGTTCAGCTCCAGCTTTATTACTGGGTCTTCTGCCGCCTCGCCGGCCACACTACAGGCAGAGCACTTGATTGGGGCCCTGCTATGCTGGAGACTGCTGACGCGCCTGTAGGAGGTCTAATCCAATAATTAGCAAAGGCCTCGAAATGACACAAATGACAAATATGGGATCCGAAGGCAAAAAAAGCTTTCCGAGCCTCTCGTCTCTATCTTCAATCACTGATCTGGACCTCAGAGCGTCAGACCACCGGTTGCTTGTGCAGCAAAGAATCAAACACCAAAATCCTTGAATCTCCTTAGGGCCACGCATGACCAGTGCCAAAGTATCTGTCCAATCCTTTCAGCTCAAGGGATGCTCCAGGGACCGTAACACCTTGGCCCTGCACCTGTCAACCTCCCGTCCTCGAATGTGGCGCTCCCCTGCAGCTGCTCCAAGTCATCTCTGGCCTTGCCGCTTGAGCCAGGCCAGGGAAGCTAAAATGGGCTAAAAGGATAAAAGGAGCGCTAGAAGCCTCCCGAGATTCACACCTGAAGTGCCATGCCAGACATCTGCCCCCCGCAAGTGGTAGAACTCCTGTCTTTTTTTGGGTGAAGTGGCAGTTGGAAGGCACTTACAGGGTTGCCATGTGCTGAAATGTTTTCGTGGGCTCCAAATGTACTTGGCCAGCTGTGGGTCATTCAGGAGCAGCTTCAACCTGGGCTTGGTGCCAGAAACAAATCCGTTCGCACCAGTGCTTGTATATTGTGTAGTTGAATGGTATGTTTGGCTTTAACAGTTTAACATATTATTAATTTAGGAGCACAAGAGAATCCACTTGCACAAAGCCCACTGAACCCCTGTCTCCGCAATGTGCGGAAGTATCATAACATTTCGAACAACTGATGCATTGGAAGCATTGATGGATCTGCCGAAGGACAGTTGTTTTCTGGGGTGTCCACGGATGTGTGTCTGGAGCACTGACTCCTGTCTCAAACCAGTCCTTCCATGGGCCAGACCTGAGATGTCATTCCGCTGTGAGATGTCAACCGCGTCCCTTATCGAAAGAGACCGATTCAAGCTTGACCGTATGAATCCGACGCTGGCAAGAGTACATTTGAATCAGAAGATAAGCTTGACCGATTCCATTCTATGAGCTATTGGAATCAAAAGCCTTTTTCTAGCTTGCCACTTGACTTGCGTTCACCGCAATCCATCTAAAGGCTGATGGATTTGCAGCATGTCCCTTGACATCTTCCATGTTGGTGAAACCTTTGGACGCAAAGAAGGAACAGTCTTCACAGGTGTGACAGTGTGATTGCACGATTTAGGTCAACATGTGTGATTACCAGACTATGCACCGCAACTGATGTCAAAAGCCAATTTCAAAAAACTCTGAGTCAACCAACAACCAGGCTCTTACAGTCCCAAAAAATTGTATGCACCCGCACTCCGCCACATGTGCCCCAGACTTGATGTTCGGAAAAGAAAGCATCGCCTGCTCTGGGCGATGCTGACACTGCCCGACTTTTGTGAGGCAAAATGGTGCCAAACATCAGGCCCCATAGGCTCCGCAACCAGAACCTTGGGCCCCTTGGGCACCGTCCCATTGCTTGGACCATCTGGACTACACCCGGTTCACCACAGCCGTCATCTTCCGAACTGCATCAGATTGAGCGGGTGGTGATGTGCAGCTGCGAAGGTGTTCGAAAGCCGCGAGATTCCGGACCTGCCGAAAGAAAAAAGAAAAAGAAAATGCTGCGAAAGACCAAGTCATGTTGGGCAAGCGCAAACACAGAACTATTAATGTATTGTGCTAGTATTGTCCATTCATATTCATATTATTCATATTGATTCATGTTGCACATTGCACAACATGCACAATGCATTCCCTAGAGGTCGGCAATGGTGAGGCACTCAACATTGCAGCCAGGCCACGGCAGTGAAAAACCTGACGTCACAGACCCGACAAGGAAAGCGTTCAAAAAGCATCGTTTAAAAATTGACGAAATTGAGTTGTTTGACTCCCAATGACTCCAAACTCCGAACAGCTCGCCCTGGCCAACGTCTGTGATGTAACTAGTCGGGTCAGTCCATGTCATGTGATCTAAGTTCACATCCAAGCAACGGGCTTGACATGCGGTCCCCTCCTGCAGACCTTGGCACAGCCAAAATGACATGATGTGCAAAATCCATTCCCCCTTAACAAAAGCATTTCATCAGCTTTGGAACCTCTTTCCTTCGCACAAGATGAATCAAAATAGTGCAGGATCATCTTGCATCCAAGCATCGTTGGCGAAGACCTCCGTGAGTCTGCAAGTTGTGTCACCTTTGTCATGCTGCGAACCCCGAGCGGCCCTGGAAGTCGAGGTGAGGAAGAAATCGTAGTGGATGTCCTCGAAGTTCTGCAAAAGCATTTGTGCTTGGTATGATGTATATATCTATATATTATGTGTAAAATGTGCATGATAATCTGTATGAGTACAGATTTATTTGTTCATTTAATAAGTTATCTATGTTTATATATGTATTTATGCGTCTGTATTAGATATTTGCATATATGGCATATCATATCTTTCAAAACTAAATATCTCCCTGTCTGTCCATCCGCCCACCAAGCGCACCAGCTCTTTAAGAGTTGTCATATTGTGACCTGAGGTCAGGACCCTGTGGGTGCCAAGCCCACACAGCAGTCTTGCAGTTGGCGAGTCACCGCAGCAAGCTGTGCCCGTGCCAGCCGAGGCGACCGGGAAGGGGAGCCCAGTCTGGAGCTCGGGGTGGGAACCTCTTCTCGCGACTGGCTCACCAGTTGCATGGCTGTGAGCTCCAACCTCAACTGCTCACGTTCCACCAGGGCTTGATCTCGTTCAAAGATCGCCTGCTCAAGGAGGCCATCTGCAGGGCTTGCCATGGAGCTTGCCACTGATGGTCGCACATTACTGGCGCCATGAGGAGTCCCATGCGACTCACAGAATCTCACGGCTTCAAAGTTCCACTCCTGTTCAGTGGCGAGTTGCAGCTCCAGTTGCTTTACCTTCGCTTCATTGAAGGCACTGAGCCGTTGGGATTCGACCAGTTCCGAGCGAAGCCTGGCTATCTCCGCTCTCAGCTCTCTGAGCTGATCCGACTCAGTGCCCTGAGACCCTGGGCGACCTGTGCGACGTTTTGCACAGAATACCCAGCCTTCGAAACACGCCCTTAACAAAGCTACTCCGAATTCATCAACCATTTCCTCTGAGAGGCATTTCAGCAAGCCCGCAGCCATGGACCATGGGCAAAACCCAAGGCGCTTTGCGCTAAGCCCTAGGGGCCGACATGTGAATTGCTGCGCCTGCAGCCTAGTGTCAGAAGCTTGAGACTGTACCTGCTTTTGTTGACATGGCTGTACAGTATCCTGCTCGGTTGGTACACATGCAATACCTTGGGACATCGTGGGACTATAGTTGTGGCATGTTGTTTGAAAATTTGCACCCATTTCCTGCACCATGAAATGCAAGAGCCCAAATACACCAACTCCAAGAAAAAGATCTGTGGCAAAGTCAAAGCTTCCCCTGATGACAATGTCTCTTAGTGTCTGAAAGCGAGTCCGTGCTCCCTTTGTGCATGTTACATGTCATACACTAGGGCTTTCATACTTCCCAGAGGCTCCAGCTGCGCTGAACGACTGGCTTTCAGAATCTGGCAGTTGCAACCACAACAGCAAAGGTGACTATGGAGATCAAGGCCGGGATTTCTCCAGTAGGTACTGGGCACAGCCGTGATGATGAAAGCTCAACAGCATTCAACAGCCATATATACGCCTGTGAAGTTGACAACTTGCATCCTCAACATCCACGGACCGCTCGCCTGAAAGGCAAGTGCTCCAAAGTCGCCAGACTCAAGCTTGTTGGAAATGTCCTTAGGCGTACGGATTGGATCTCGCAGTCCCGGAGCAATTGGCAAAAAAAGAGTCCCACAGATTCCAAGGCCAGAACTGAGTTTGGCTTCATGATGGTAGTGTTGTCGAAAGTCAACTCACAGATTACATCGCCTTCATCAAACCTGATTCATCCAGCGCTTTCCAGTTGCTTAGTATAGGGTTTAGGAGGCGCGCACAGGCTCAAGTGACTTAAGCTGCTTAGGTCAAAACGATCTGGTTGCGAAAAGCCCAAGTCCGTCGCCCACTCGGCTTTCTCGGACCTCGGTGGCCTGCACCCAAGAGGATACAGGCGCACAGGGCGCATAGGGCGCACAGGGCGCACAAGGCGCACAAGCAGAGCATGTCCTACCAGAGACCTCCCTGCCTCTGCAAGCAATGGACACCACTGAGACATGACCGGTGCCTTAGCAAGTTGCACATTGGAACTCCACCCATCTGAAGTTTAGGCTGCCCATATCGACTGATGCAAAAAATTGAAGAAGAGGGACAGCGTATGTACATATAGGATGTAGAAGGAGAGGAGGCATTGCGAGCAAAATAATGCCGGCGCTTCGCAAATTCTAGCATCATCATTTCAAACAAGGAAACCTTTTTGAACCCAAGGCCCTAGATAGGTAAAGTCTCCGGCCATGGACTCAGCGGTTGCAGCTCGGAGAGCTAAACGGTGCCTGTACGACTATCAGGGCCTTTGCAGCTCTCATGGCTGCCGAAGATCCAAGCAGTGTCTCTCTTTGAAATCAGGTGGGGAAGTTGGCAGGGTTCAAACATTTGATTTGAGGATTCAATACCAGAAGGAAGCGCAGCTAAAAACCAGGAATAGGCGCCTTCGGCATTTTGCAGCTCGCCTCCACCTCTGGCCTGCTCTGCTGAGGATTGGTAGCAATACCCACCAATACTAGGTTACTAGGCAATATGAAATGATCAGGATCCATGTCAAACCGCCTGCACGCAAGCCACAGGCCACTGGCAGCACCAACCAAGTCCGGTCGAATGACCTGGCCAAACAACTCACTCTCTCTCTCTACCTCTTTCTGCAATTTTTGGAATGCAGGGGTCATTTTCCGCTGTCCTTTCTTTCAGTGCCACTGCCACACCAGGTGTGATAAATTATTTCGCTGGGGATCGTTCCCAGAAAGTGCCTGGAACAAGATGTCTCATCAAGAACGGACCGCTGTGTTGGAGGAGCTTCTAAGGCAGCCTCAGCAGCAAATTCGTCGAAAAATTGGCAGGCTCAAGAGTCAGTTGCTGATGTCAATATTGAGTACTATTTTAACTGAGCAGATTACCCTTCGTGGAGCTTGTCGCGCTGACGCTGGCACAGCTGAATCAGCCCAAAACGAGGCCTGTCCCAAGGGCTTTCAGAAAAGTGGTGAAGCGTCAGCGTGTTGACATCCGCTACGTCGTTACGTTCAAGGTGCGCACCGGCGTCGCGAAGGGCAGAAACATCTCATCGACATCAAGAACAATCACCGGGCTTAACAGCTGCGGCCACAAATCCGGTGGTTGAACTTAGTGACAGCAACAGGTCTGCCCGTGCAAATGTATAGATTAAATACACAACAATCTTACCTGGAAAGCAACTGCCTCATCCTAGGCAGGAAAGTACTTTATCTGGGTGGTTTTACCATCCTTTAAATACATTTGAATGGAGTTCACCTACCCGTCTCACGTCTCTGCAGGGGTTGCATTGTTTTCTGGACTGGCGTTGCTGGCAAACACAGGCCATCAGCTCACGACTATAGGCTCTCATGGTTGCAGCTGCAACGGGACAGGGTTGTCACCTCACGCAAAGGGCTTCGAGTCTGTCTTTGATCCCGATGTAGGCTGACCGCGGGAAAAAGAGAAAAAACGCACTGCCCAGTAACCTGGTTTGACTTCATGTAGACATGTGTGCTACCTGCAAAGCAGTGACTAAAGCAGCTGCCAAAAGCAACACGTCGCCTTTTTCTGCTACTCAAGCCCAGTCGAGTTTCCCAACACTTCAACGTCAATCAAATTTGGCAGCTGCCAAATTGCAGCTGGAATGTAAGTCAAGCGATTTCGTGACAGCCTGCAAAGCAGGGACCAGAAGAAAAACTGAAAGAACGAGTATGTGTCTCTGGCATGAGTAGAGTATGGCGCCAATTTGTGGCCTTCCAATTCCAGCAAAGCACTTGGGGTGACTGGTGGAAATGTTCTATCAAAATGATGAGTTCTCGATTCATCGGCAAGGGGCTGGACTTTTCGTAGGGAGCACAGCTTCTCAAACGAAGCTGGCAAGGTCTCGAGCCGATTCTCGGCAACTGACAGCTCCTACAAGACGTCTGGACACCATCGGACTATCTCTGGCTGTGTTGTGACTTCTATGTACATGAATGGCACGAATCGTCACGAATCATATGAGGGCGCCAAAATATCTTGGTGTCCTCCAGGGACTCCAATTGGCCAAAGGATTCGGGGAGCTCAATGAGTTCGTTGGCATTCCTAATTGTTCACAAACTGGAGCACACTGAGGTAACATAGGCATGCGTATTTCACTTTGCTGATGGATGTCTAGGACGTTTTCAATGCCAAGCAACAGAAGGCATGTGCACAGTGATGTCAAGTCACCTCGGCTACAGAGTTGAGCCACAAGTGGAGGCTGCAAGTGCAAATAGCAGCTAGTATGTTTTGCTGATGAGGTAAGCCAACCGCCCACCACCTCCAAACAGAGTCGATAGATGCCGCATCCAGCACTATGGAATGATATTTGAATACCATAGAAACCTTTCGTCCAAAAGAGAAACCTGCAAATGCTCAGGATGGAGGCGGGTTACCTTTCACTAAGCTGCACATTCAAACGAAAGGAGTTCATACCTATCAACCTGCACGGAAAGGCATAAATCCAAGCTTTGACAAAGGAGCCAAAGCTGTCAGGAAGATACTGCAACCTGTTGCCGTTGGCCATCAACTCTTTCAGCGAGCTCAAACGGCCAAGATCTTCCGGAAAATTCCTGGACACCAAGTCTGAGATGAACATGTCAGCTATGGAATTCTTTGATTATATAGTTGGGTCCAACATCATCTATCAACTTTTAAGACCTGACTAAGGCTTGGCTCCTCAAGCGATTCCGGGCGACATCGCAGAACTCTAAGTGCACGAGGTCCCCAAAACCTTGCTGGATTGGCTGCTCCACTTTCATGCTCTGAACATGTTTCCTTTGAAGCCAAGGGGCTGGATGGCAAAGTTTCAAGTAAACAACCCGCAGCCTAGCAAAAGAATCCAAAGGATTGTCCACTTCCTGCTGTACAACTGTCAAAGTGTAACTGGTGAACTATCACTGTCCATTCACTCTGCATCACTGTACTAAGTACTTGTCCTGCAAACGCTGCAGGCTGCGAAGCTGGCCAAAATCCTCTGGAAGTGGTCGCAAAGGATTTGCATGGCATTGCAGCTCCTGTCAACTCAAGGCATCCCATGTCCAAAAGAACGTAGAGATTCAAGATCTTCAGATCTTCTTCATCTTCTTAGTGATGAGTTTTGAGTTCTTGTGTGCGTGTGCGCTGTGTATACATGTGTGTGCACATATATATATATATATATGTGTGTGTATAATATACTGGATGGAGTTTGATATAAAGACGTGCATCACACCGTGTGTCCTTCAAGCAGCTAAGTTCACAAAAGCCTGGCGGCAGCTTGGACAAGCGGTTGCCTTCAAGGCAGGGCCAGGATGATGAAAGACGTCCGAAAGATCTCATGGCACAGCGTCAAGCCTGCAAGGCGGACTTCCTCCAAACGAGTCAGAGTAGCCGGGCCAAAGCTTCGAAGAAGGTTTTGCGAAACTCCCAGAACCTTTTGCTGCAGAGATGGACTCTCCCAAGCTTATCCCAAGCAAAAGAAAAATCCAATCTGAAGATGGAAGTTACATGAAGTTACGGTGGAAAAATTACATTCAGCATTTACAAAACCTGCAGTCTCCGATTCACAACCAGGTAGCCCGCAGCTGCGGAGCAGCGGCCGCAGGCAGCTCAGCGATTTGATTTGAATCCAGGTCAAGGATCTCCAAGTTGTGCAGTCCACCAATGCTGTCCTCCGGCACTTCCGGCACTGAGACCCTATACCTTTACAATTTTGGCGCTGAATAATCGCGTATACCCACATTTCACACAGCAAGACACATGCTTACAAGGCTCTGGTAAGTGGTGCAGCTTGTTGGCTCCCAGCTCGAACAACCTGACAAGCAAGCGACAACCACATATCTGTTGCAATCTCACATTTCTATACATTTCTGACATGTAACTAGCTGCTTTGCAACATTGAGTGAAAGCCACGCTTTGCACCTCAAGCGCTGCAAGCGATGCAGGTCCTTGAAGTGTTAAAGTGCTTTCAGCTGCACTGCAGAAGTTTCCGATAGTACGGAAGTTTCTGATGCTTTCTGTTCCAAAATCGGATGTTCTTCCCGGTCCTTTGGAAGGCTTGCAAGCTGGCACTTGGAAATAGTGCATTCCGAGGCCACACAAATCCACAAAGGATGGCCTGGATTGAGCAGAGCTGCACATCGTGAGCCATGCTGTGATGCCAACTTTCAGCAGTTGCAGCCAGGCTGCGGAAGGTCACAAATGTTGCAATGCATGATCACCTTACTTTCGGACCCGACAAACTATCCCAGCTGCAAGTGGGCTGGCTAGTTTCCAACTCGGGGCTGGGGCTCCTGGCCAGTCGCTCCAGTGATGACAAAAGGCCCAAGCTGTCCTGAAGGTGATCCAAAGGCCCAAGTGGGCTTGGAGAATGGAAAAGTACAAAGTCTATTGATGTCTATTGATGTCTATTGATGTCTATTGATGTCTATTGATGTCTATTGAGCTTCACAGATTTCACAGGTATGCCGTATGCCCAAAACATCCCTTCAAGCCGCCTTTCCTGTCACCATGAGTCACCATGAGTCACCATCTTTTCAGCCAAGCATCCGGTAAAGACCGAAGTTGCAGCGATGTCAAGTGGAGAGACTTCAAGGAGCTGCAGACAAGACCAAATCGCTCGGGCAATACCTTGAGGCCCTTGTGAGAAATGATCAACTCCTGGGATCGGCGCGGACCCTCTATACCGTGTCTATACCCCCGTCTGCGCTACAGCTACTACTTTGACATGAAACAAAAAGACGTTGGAAAGACATGAAAAGATGGTACAAGCGGCTTCAAGCGGCATCCATATGATATGTCATGATATGTCGTGTCACATCAATGGACTACTTGCGGCCCGCTTGCTGAGCAGTCTTGCAACTCATCAAAGCTGGACACTCCAGCATATTTGGCGAGTCGATTTTCCAGCATGTCTGGCAAGATGCAAACCTTGACAGAAACTCCAAGTGAAGAAACAGCCTGTATTCTCTGGTTTTTATATTTTAGATCGCAACAAATCGCGCAGAAAAAAGTGACCGGCAAAATCTTCCCTCTTCCTCTTCTATTCGGCTAAGTAGATCTATCTAAGTAGAACAATGCCTAGCAGCATGGATGTCTTCAAGACCCAAGGCGGCGATCGAAAGCGCATCCTCCAAGCAGGCTGCGCCACCCAAAAGCTGCAAACCTTGGGCGGGAAGACATTGCAAGGTGGGGGCTGGCACCATGTCGGCACAGTGTCAGCACAATGACGAGAAACGTCCATGCGGGACCTGCAAAGTGTCCGCCAATAATCGCTTCACATCGCCAACACGAGCATCTCCGGGCTTTGTGCGGATCGGAATCTCCTGCAACATCCAGGTATGAGGGCGTGCCCTCATGAAAAAGAAGAGAAACATTCGTCTATGTATGGGATGCCAATTTTGACTCTTACAGTAAGATCCACCCAGACTTGGAATGATCTCCCTAAAACGAGGCCTCTCCACAAAAAGAAACAATGCCCTCTCCTTGCCACTCAGCAAGCGAAAGGTTGGCATTGACATGGCTTTGACAAAATACCATTTCCTGGTGCTCCTCTGTATCCATCAATCCATTTCAATCCATTTCAATGAATCGATCGGAAAGCTTTCTTTGCTGGGCTATGGCGGAAAGGAGACTGCGGGAAAATCCCCTGCACCTGTGCAAATTTTCCCTGAAACTACTGTCAAGTCAGCTGCAGCTGTTGCAAAGCATTACAGGTGGGTCTGGGCCATAATCGCAACAAGAATTACATGGGCCTTGCGCCTTTGGTACATCGAGTAGAAAGCACTGAAGAATGCTCATATGTGTACTTTTCAAGCCCACGAGTAGCAAGTAGCTCCCAGGTCGGTACGTTGTCCCATCAGGATGTCATACCCTTCCTGCACGGGTGAACTGGGCCAATGTGCATTGTGCCTCTTGTTACCACAACCCTTTCTGCACAGTGGCAATGCTCAGCACCATCCTGTTTAACCGTGACTGGAGTTGATGCCAATGTCACCTCAGCATATCATACCAACGCAGATATGCAAGTGGCATCAAGTGGCAATGAAGGCTCTTGGAAGCTGACCTTGCGGTGCAGGTGCACGTGTTGGTGCCGAGCTCTTTCCCAGTCCTTGTCACACCAATGACTTGGATGAAGCAGGACCCACAATCCTTGGACCAAGTTCCCTGGCCTCATCCACCAGATGCACCCGTTTGGAGAGGTGGATTGGAACGCCTCAAGCACAGAAACTGATGGATGTAAAATAAATGAATATATAAATAGCATGCAAGTATATAATGATATTGCAATATATATATATAATGTGCAATATATATATATATAATGTAAGAAAACATCAACAGGCCTGGTTGAAAGTCAACGTTCCCACATAGCCCAACCACTGAGGCCGGCCACCTCTTGGCACATAAATGAGCTCAGAGGGTTGAAGTTCGCCACTCATTTGGCAGCTCCTCTTCAGCCAGGTATCCTGCGGCTTTTCAGGGCCAGGCACCGTTTCTGACCTTTGCTACATGTTTCATCAATTTTCAGCATGTTTCATTACCCTGTTCCGCGCAATACTAGATTCAGTCCACGGTGGGGACGATGGCCAGGTCCAGGCCCCTGTCCTTGCAAGTGGAGAGACATGGAGAGACGCATCAGCTGCAGGAAGCAGTATCGAAGTGTATCAGCTGTAAAGAAGCTCACTTGACAGTTGGCATGAAGGTCCCCATCTTGGAGCAAAATAGTACCAGTTATCACCAGTAAAAACCAGCCAATCTCTTCCCGCCAATATTTAATACCCACCCTATAAACCTATATAGTTGGCGTTGGCACATCCACCACTGTAGCGTCCGACCGAAGCACTTCTCTTTTTGCCGGCTGAGTGGCCAAAAGTCCGGTTGAGCTTAGCCCATCTTAGCCCCAAAAAACAATTCCCCCACCAGCCGCATCTAGTGTCGATGTCTGTTGCTAGTGGCAGCTTGCGCAAAGATTTGGGCCCATCTCCACTGCGCGCACCACCAACTCGAAACAACTCGTAAGGACGGGTAACAGACCGGGTAACAACTCGTAGCATGTTTTTTCCGGCTATGTCCAGATGTTTCCAACCATTCCAAGCCTCTGATCCTAGTCCGGCTATTCGGGCTCATGGAGATGCACACAGTTCTAAAAGAGCAAGCCCAAGTCCAAAAGAACCACACAAACTCAGCACTGAAAGTGCCATTCTACTGCTACCTGAGCGTGGCTTTGGCAAGAGTGGTACCCCCAGCGAACTGGATCGAAAAATCCACAGTTTCAACAACCGCCTCTCATGCTTCAAGCACTGGGCGAAATGGAAGTGTAGAAACCTGAACCCTGACAGCAACTACAGCAGGCAGCTCCACTTTTTTGCAGAGACCTGCCTGCAATATAGCCATGTGAAATTCACATGTGTCTATATGTCTATATATGCACATATCCACATGAATATGTATGTCCATATAATTCCATATATAATTATAGGACCTTGCCAGTTGTGGCAAGTGCACTTCACTGTTCTGCTGCCAGCTTGCCTAGATACTTGAAAATCAGTCCGCCACCCTTCTTTTTTCAGGCAGCAAAAGGCCAAGCCTTCTCGATCTTCTCGGACTTAATGTTATTCAAGATTAGTTTTCAAGAGGTCAGAGTCAAGGGTCCGTGTAGCAAAGCAGTTCCAGTAACACGCCACCAATTCTTTCCCAAATAGCTGCAAATGCTAACAATCATTGCATTCACCTCTTTGCTATCCTGACCCAATGGCCAAGCACAAGATCGCCCTAGTGGCTTTGGGTGCTATGCTTAAAGGCTTAAAGGCGTTAGAACGTGCCGTGCAAACCAGACCTCTTTAGGTCGCTCAGCACTGTGGACTGTCCGTTCAAAAGCCTCGAGAAGATGCCTGAACATCGTGGGAAAATGTGGTGAAGTTGCTTGGCGAAGGCTGCAATACTGGAACACAAGGGAAAGGTTCTGGAACTGGGCACGTGCAGTGGCAGAAATTCTACTGGGCCTACTGGCTTGATACGGACCTGACTCATGTCTGACAAGGCACTCTTGAAGACGAAGACCGCGAAGATCGCGGTGAAAATACCCCATCTTCATCTGGAAAGGGCCGGACAACGCCAAAGTGCTGGTCATACACAACGGCATTCCTCAGTTGATGAAATGGAATGACATGGAATGACATGGAGCGATATGGAATGACATGGAATGACATGGAATCATGGAAGGACCTGGGCACTCGACACTCAAAAAAATTGAAGAGCTGCTTCCAAGCTGCTGATTGAACAATTTGCAAATCTTGTCGTAGACGATTGGTAAGCGAGCTGGGGGCCTAGAAGCCACTAATGCTTTGTTCGCTTTGCGGACTTCCTCAGCAACGTGTTGAAACACTGTGACACACTCTGCACATTCTGGGTCATCTCTTTTTTACCGCTGAGGGCAGTACAACTGCTCCAGGTTTTTTTGCTTCGTAAATGTTCACAGGAACTCTGTCCTGATCGCTTTTCCTTTTGCTTCCCTGAGAGTAGAGGTTCAGCAATAGTTTTGAGCGGCAAGAAAATGGATCACAAACTGACTGTGCAAGTTCTGCTGCCCAGCTGCCTTTCGCTGCTCACGGTGATTAATGATGATGCAAGGAGTCTGGCAGCCAGTTTCAGTTCTGAAAGTTGTGCAAAAGCAAGACAGGCAGCTGGACCAAGGCCAAATCATTCCTTTCGGCTACGAAAATAGCAAACATTGTTCCAGAAAAGCTTGCGACTTGCTACCTCGTAAGACGTCAAGCCAGGTTGAAAACTTTGTCCGGCGCCCAGAACCACGCGTTCTGAACGGCCACTGCCAGCAACTAACTGCCATTCTGCCTGGATCACCGCCAAACTGTAACAAGGGCAGAAAAAGCCGCCATGTTTCACTCTGGCCCTCTCCACCCTCTCCTAGATCCCGAGAGAGGGAAAAAACAAAAACAAGGAGACAATGAGATACAGTATGGTAATGTATGGTATCAAACTTCCGTCGTTGGCATGTATCTTCTTTGGCAGATTTGTTCAATATCATGGACCAGTGATGTACAGTGTAGCAGTCAGTGTAGATGAGGCACACTGAGCGTGCCCGGCCAGTCCGCTGGAATTGGACTACCAAGCCATGCCCTCTCCCAATCCTTCTTCCCTTTAATCCGCTTTGAATCAACATGAATCAACCTAATGACCTAATGCATCCCCGTAAGTGCATTCAAGCGGCGCTTGTGCTGGAGGCCCTGACCTGTTTACTTCAATGGGTGTGACTCTGTGTGATCAAATGGTGTGGAAGCTCAGCACCTGACTGGTGCTCGCATGTCGCTTATTCTATGCTAGTCGTGTGAATGAATATAGCTGCTTAAATGCTGCTTATCGCTGAAGTTCGATGCCAAAACACTTTTCCAATCCAGGCTTCGATGTTCATGGACGGATGAGCGCATAGGAGTTCAGCACATCGCGTTGCTGCCTCTTCTCTGCGTCGAACTTCAAGAGTCACACATCCTGAGCTAAACTGAAATAAAAACTCTAACCAAGCTTCTTTGCATTCATGGCATATTTATCAGTATCATCCGATTGCTCGTGATCTTTGCACAATGCGTAGCAGTGCCGAGCAGTGCCTAGCTTCTGTTCAGATTCTTCACCTCTTGCTTGCTATCGTTCAGCTCCTTCTGCAATCGCATGATCTCCATCCGCTGCTTTTCAGTCAAATCAACCTTCGATTGATTCAGCAAGGTGCAAGGCAGTGCAAGGTTTGGATTTCCTGGGAAACATCATCTGTGAAAGTTTTCGAAATCTGTTGGAATCTGTTGGATACTTTTTCGATGTCATTTCACTGCATTTGTCCCAGAAACCTTGCGCTGGAGCTCTGCTAGGCTCTTGTCTGTTTCTCGCCGGAGTTGCGCTGACAAAGCGGAGAGCCGTTGGTTCTGCTGTTGCAATTCGGCTCTCCTCAGTTCATGTCATGTCATGCTGCGGTGATACGCAGACATTCTACAGACATAGTCGATGATCTTCTATGTGTGCTTTAGCTGGACGATGCCAATCAGAATGATAGATTGCAACAAAATGAGTCACCCATCAGCAAGTGATTTGAATCTGGAGTGAGGACGAGTTGCTCTGCCATCAAACCATCACGCTTTTCGCAAAGCTCAGTTTCATTCATCTGAGCAGATCGCAACTCGTCCTACAGTGGCACAGGCGTATTCCTAGAACACTCTAAGGCAGCTTCCACTCAATGCACCAATGCTCAAGCCGAGCCAAATCATGGCAGTCCTTCAGCTTGCTGATCAAGGTTCGCATTCCTTGCATCTGCGACCCAAAGTCATCCCTTTCAAGAGTTCGTTCTGCCAGCTGAGTGAACCTGAGGCAATGTCAAAGAGCTGCCTTTGCACCATTCACGCAATGAAATCTGAGGTCCTCACAAACTTCGGTTTTCAATGCTTGCCTCCTGACAATGACTTGGAGGACAGTCTGTTGCAGTGGGAAATTGCTATAAATCACCAGTAGTCACCTAGCTGCTGTCACAAACGAGGCGATACCAACTGCAGCTCCTCACACTCGGCTCGCTTTCGACCCAGCTGCAGCCGAAGCAAATCGTTTTGCTGAAGCTGCTCTTCCAGGGTGGACTTCAGCATGTGCGAAGACTCCTCGTGGTCCCTGCCAAATCAACCAGGTCATTTGTCGCTGAGCCTGTGATTTAAAGAGCAGCGCAGTCCAAACAACAGCGCCTCGCGTTTTCAGATCTCTCCACTTTGATCGCTGTCAACTCGCACTGGAGATTCTGGATGACAGATTCCTGTCAAGGCATCTTGAGGGGCACGGTGACTTTACCAAACACTTTTCCTGCAGTGAAATCCAGTTGGCTTCAATAATATACTATGTTGCCTGTTGAATTACTTTCATGTTGCAATAAGTGACCAAGAGACCCTTTGTTGGGATTTAAAAAAACCGGAATCCTCAGGTCACTTGTTCAAAGCTAGTTCAACGTGGGCAACTACCCAACATAGACATACCGATAGGTAGAAAAAAAACAGACTGAAGAAGAAAAGAAAATACATTAATTAGATAGATAACAGATAGAAAGACAAACAACTTGGAACAACGATAGATAATGTACATGCATGTATACATGCATACATAGATAGACAGATAGGTAGGTAGATAGATAGAGGCTTAAACACCTGAAAGTGTACTCGGTGCACTCGGTGCACTCGGTGCGCTGCAAGTGTACTCGGTGCGCTCGGTGCATTCGGTGCACTCGGTGCGCAAACTGTGCGCAGTCACTGATCGCAGCCGCAATGTATTTTTTGAGCTAGTTTCATAAATACATGGATCATCATGGATCCCATGAACCTATATAGATGATTCCAAATGTCTTCAGGTCCTTGCAACCAACTTCCTGCGTAAGGAGATCGTGTTGGAGCCTTATTTTGCTGCAGCCCCTTCCGTCAATCATAGTTTCTGCCAGATGTGCTCATGCTGCAGTCAAAGACTTGGGAGCCAAGTTTCTGCTTGTCTTCCAGACCTCATGGTCAGCTGCGTGAAACATTGCAAGGAGATGCTGGTGTAAACTGGGAGACGGCACTGCTGTCCACTGAGCGTGCGACATCTATCCAGGATGTTTGTCTCCTACCAAGACTGACGACCACGTGAGGAGGCTGTCCAACCAGGTTGAGCATGAATCTTTCGGGATCTTACTACCTATGGCTCAAGTCAGAGAGCCTGAGCACATGACGAAGACTTCACGTGTGACATAAGCACCCAAGAACTCAAAAACTATCTCCCTGTCTTTCTTTCTTTCAGATTTCCCCTGCCTGCTGAGACTTCGAGAGTTGTTCCTTCCTTGGCTTACAGGTAGCTAGCTCAGCAACACAACAATCATTCCCAGAGTGTGTGCAATCAAGTTGCGCTTGCTCCATCTGAATGCCCATCTCTTCCATAAGTTTGCCTCTCATGACCAGCTCCTTCTCAACCAAATCCTGGCACCACCAGAAATCTGTGGACGTTGAACAGGTAAGAAGTTAAGACAGCTGCTGTGAGCCTGTCCTTGTCTGACTGGCATATTCCGAGCGAGATTCTCAGTTGGTCTATGATTTTCCTGTGTCACAATGGCATCCCATGCTGAATCTTTAGTGATCAAAATTGAAATAAGAAACATGGGCTGGGCGGTGGGTGGAAACATCATGGCAAATCAAAACGACAAGTCGGAACAGAGGGGGGCTTTCGCTACTGCAGCCACATTGCTCCGAATCACCCCAATGTTCCTCACACAAGTTGAGACCCGGTATTGTTTTAAAGAAAGGAAAAGCGCCAACATGTGCGAGCATACCTTGCTACCATCTTCACCCGCCGTCTGTCCTGGATGACCCTCACTTGGCCAAGGTAGTCTTCTGTCTCCATGCCCTTCCTTGCAAGCTCCCGAGAAAGAACTTGCATTTCCTTACCACGAGGCCAAAATAGTAAAGTGTGCACAGTGCGACTGATGCAGACTCATGCAGCAGAAGGATTTGACAAGAGCTTCAGCACGCCATCCCACAGGTACCCATCAGACTAGGTTCACTATCCTTCAGTTCGATCGACGCAGACAGCATCTGCATTCTGACATCTGATTGACCGAGCTGGTCTGTCCTTATGTAGGCCGGAGTTTGCAGACCAAGTGCAAAGCACACCTCACGAAGCAACATGCATCAAGTCACCAAAAGGCAATCCATCTTGAAGTAATCAGTACGTTCAGCCCAAACCGAGTCTCAGTTCAGCTAGGCTGGCATTTGCCTTAGAAGAGCCAAGTGCTGAAAATGCGAAGCAAAATATTGCCCAGATATGATGCCAAAATGATCATGAAATAGTGAAAGAAAATACTAAGGCGCTTTCAAGGTTCCATTGAGGACATTCCTTGAGTCCTTGACATCTTTTTTTCACAGCTCCCAGATCCAGCCCAGCTGCCAATTCATTACTTTGCTTCTCAGCATGCCGCAGCTTTAGATTCAAAACATCAATCTCCTGAGCATGCTGAACTCAAGCCATCAAAACCTACCGAAATCGCAACACCAATCGCAAAGTGGACTGCATGGCTCACTCACTCAAGTATATAAAACTTAAAATTGTGTTTATGTGCGCACTTCCGAGCATGCGGGATTTGTTGAAGAGTCTGACTTTATCATGAGTATGTTACTTGGAAAACATTCGGATACCGACTGGCGAAGCTACCTAAGATGTCAAAAACAATCACAATTTGACAAGAAATGTTTTGGCCATGGCGTTTCCTTCCAAGACTATAGCATGCTGACAAGGCTCTCTCTGCTTCTCCTGTGCGGCTCTCCGATAATCTCCTTGGTTCAAAGATGGAGTGAGCTGCAGTGTTTCAGAAGCATCACTCCCGTGGGAAAGATTATTTCACACATCTCAGCCGAAGGGGCTACACTCAGACAAGCATGCATCTCTTTGGTGCGACATGTGTTGCACAAAGCTCTGGCAGAGCTGTGCGTTGATCTGCCAAGTGCAGATTTCCTGCATTGGGGCATCATACACAAACAAAACCAATCGTACAGTTTGTTTCATCTTCACCATCTCTGCATTTTGTTCTCCCCTCTTGAAACATTACAGCCACTTCAACTGGTGAACACTGGAGAACCTCGTGCCTCACGTGCCTCACGTGCCTCACGTGCCTCACGTGCCTCACGTGCCTCACGTGCCTCACGTGCCTCACGTGCCTCACCTACAAGGACCTTCTAGTGACTCTAGTGGCTTCTAGGTGTCCTGCACTGCTGCATCTCTGGCTTCTTTGTTGGCACCTGCTTGGGAGGCCATCTCGTCGAGGGCTATTTCCAGCTCTATGTTTTTGCTGTTGGTACGTGAAAGTCTTCCCTCGAGATCTGCACGCTCCATCTGCAGACCCTCCAATTCAAGAGCCAAGGATTGTTTGTCACTTACAGCATCTTTGAGTGACGTAGTGACCACAGAAAGCTGACGGTCGAAAGTCTGCAACTGATCCTTCTCCATCTTCAGGTCTTGCTTCAGCTTCTTTAGCTCCAGCGCTTTCTCTTCCAATTCTTTTGCCAAGACAATGTTCTCAGATTTGGCAGCTTTAGCCGCAGCATCCAAATCCCGCACTTTCTGCTCCAATGAAGAGATTGGGGCCTTCACAGCCGATAGTTCTGCAGCTAGAGCTTCATTCTCTTTCCGTTTTGATGCCAAGCTAGTCGTGAGAGCTGATAGTTGTGCTGCTGCAGATTCATTCTCTTCAACCTGTGCTGCTAGATCATTGGTGACACTTGACACTTGTGCTGTTATGGCCTCATACTCTTTTCGTCTTGCTGCCAGCTCTTCTTCTACCTTGGTTTTTTCCGCAGTGATTGATTGTACCTCAAGGCAGGACATGCGATTGATCTCTTCCAACTCCCTGATTTTGGCACACTGCTCTTGGACATTGTTCTGCAAAGCTGCGTTTTTCGACTGCTCGTCTTTCAGGCTCATGGTCAATTTTTCAAAGCGAGAGCTTATGTCTTGTTTTTCCGCAGTTGTCAATGCCAAGGATTCCGCGATAGTCCGTTTCTCTTCCTCCAAGTGTTGCAAATGCTGCTTTGAAGCAGAAAGACGGCTCAAGAAATCCTCGGCAGACATACCAACATTCTCCACTTGCTGCATTTTAGACCTCATTTCCTCTTGGGCCATCCGGAGGGCTGAGGAAAGGGTGTGTAACTTTTTTTCATGCTGATCCAGCTGTTCATTGGAACATGACAACTTCTCGCTGATGTTCCGAATCTCATCCTGAGCTTCTGTCAGTTCCTGCGTTCTCTCACTCAGTTTGATGTTCACTTTTTCATGTTCAATGGTTTGCGCCTCCAGGGCCCCTTGCAGTCTTTCGCAGCTGTCCTCACATGTAGCAAGATTGCTGCGAAGATCTTCTGCCTCTGCGAATGTCCGAGCCAGTGTGTGCTCCAACTCCTCATTCTCCAATGTCTTTTCTTCCAGCATGGAAATTTGCATTTGCAATTCGGCGGAGCATTTCGCTGCTTGTTCCTTGCAAGCGTCTAATTGTTCCGACAAGCATGCAGCTTCCGAATCTTTCGTCCTCAAGGTTCATGCATATTCATCATCTGATTGAAGCGGCACTGGCCAAATTCCACATCATGTCACTTGATGTAACTATATAAAACCTATATAGTATAGTAGTTGTGTCCTGCTGTGTGCATGTTCCAATGCCAAGTTTTCATAGTGCTACCAGAAGGCCCGTCCTCAAGTCTTGGATGACACGTTCCTTTTCTGACGTTTCTCTGTTCAAGGACGAAACCAGTCGCTGGATCTCTTTCTCTGCTTTCTCCAAGCGCTCTTCTGCATCCTTAGCCTAGCCAGTGCGCAAAAGCAATCACGGATCAAGCATGAACCCAAAGGAAGACATTGCAGAAATCTCTCAGCCATTGCCCAATCTTCAACATTGTTCCAAGTTCCCTTCCTTCTCTTTATTTCTCTGTTCATTTCTTTTCCAACTATCACTCTTGGAAATCAAGCTCAAACCCTGTAGGAGGGCCAAAATCTGGGGCACCTCTTCCTGGAGCTTTTGTTCCTTCACTGAGTCATTGAGGAGCAGAGTAGAAAGGCTCGAAGTCCTGGAAAATTGGACACATCGGCGACACATCCGTGACACATCGGGTCCATTTTTTATTCGGGTCCATCCTTCACTGCTGTCAACAAGTACCATCAAGTACCACTTTGCCATGAAAAAGGATGCAACGCTCACCGCATCTGATCGCTGCTTTATGTGCCCCTGCGTTTAGAAGCAGCTACTTAGGCGAGACATCCAGTTTTGCCTACCCCACACTTTGTTTCCAAAAAAGGGTCAAAAAAGCGCGTTGCAGCATCCAGTTCTGCCGTTTTTCAGATTTTTGGCAGCTCGTCCGACTCGTCCTTCGTTTCTCTGCTTCCAGCTCAGCCGTTCTGGCATCCAAGTCAGCGAGGGTCCTTGGTTTCGACGTCACAGAGAACTCATGCCCATTGTCACCGCGAGGCCAAATTCATTAATCTCATTACATTACGTTCATTACGTTCATCAACCCTTTATAAAACTGAGATGTCCCTAATCAGTACTAGGCACTCTTGCAGCTTCTTCTCCAGAACCTCCATGCTTGAGTCCTGTTCCTGGAGCTTTCTGATGCAGTCACCCTCAGATGTACAATCCGCTGCAGCTACAGCTGCGAAGGGACTCAAAAGAACGTATGCGTACATACCATCGTATGCACGTACTACATACATCTACATACTATGCAACACATTTCACATCAAAGATGGTCTTGAAAACGGGCATAGTATATCAGCATAGCATACATATGTATAGCGTGCATGCATGTGTTTATATATATATATGTATGTGTGTGTGTGTACGCGATGTGTTGTCTATGTATATATTATCTTGCTCTGTGTGTGTGTGTGTCTGTGTCAAAATATGTCAAAATACATATTCATGCGGGGCTGGGGTTCGACCAAGTGGCTAAACGTGCCGTGGTCGATGATTTTTGAAGCTTCAGCTTAGACAGCTCTGATTCAAAGTCCCCGCAAGCGATACCTGAGCACAAATGGAACGAAGCTCCAAACAGTCCTTTTGATAGCGTCATGATGCGTCATGATGCGTCATGCAACCCAAGACACAATTTGCAAGGGGCCGAATCATGCGTCGCCAGCGAGACCCTTCCGATGGACTGGAAGGGCTGTGTTCCATGAAATCACCTGAATACGGAAGATACCGAAGCATGCCACACCATGCCACTCAAGCTTGGCAAACTTCAAATGCCCAAAGCGAACCACGCTTACACACTTAATCAATCTTAATCACGCATATATCACACTTGTATCATTAGTGCACAAGGGTGGTTCCTCATGCAGGGGCCTAGGGTGGAAAGTACCAGAAGATTGATCCAAGTTTCTCATCAAGCCAGGAGATTGGACTTCATCACTAGCAGTCTTGAGTGGAAGCATAGCCTGCAGTCATGAGGTGAGAACAAGTGGTGAAGTGAAGTGGTCTGTGAAGAAGCAAAAGTGACAAGGAACAACCAGAGAGTGTAAGACCTCCCAGCCAGCAAGTCTTAGTATCGTGTAGCAGCATGTAGCAGCATCTAATTTCTCTTGATACTCCATCTTGACCCGAGTATATCACCCAATTCTGAAGCCTTAGATCTTGCTGCGCCAGGGCAAACATCGGTGTCTTCAGTCGAAATGGCCATGCCAGGAAGCATATCCTCAGATGATATCAATTGATATCATACTATCGAGCTACAGGCAGCTACAGGAGTGTCAATGCCAGCGTCAAGATCTTCCAAGAAGCCCAAGACTATCGATTGGATATGATTGGATTGGATGTCCGATTTTGATGACTTCACTGACTTCACTGACTTCACCCTGGGAAGTTCTTGTGGCCAAGCCAAGCTTCTCAACCTTCAATGCGCTCAGGCGCCACAAAAAGGTTTGCTACCGCACTAGCGGGAGACAAGAATTGCATTGGCAACCGAGAACTTCAAATGTCACGGAATCAAACAGAATCGATGGTGTAATCGTTGCAAGCCTTTTGGGTGTGCACACTGAAAGTACTTGTCGTGAAACAAATGCCAAAGCAAGTTTACATTCGCATAACATCTGTAAAGCTAATCAAGGCCTAAACGGCTTCGGGGCAGTCATCAGCGACTTCACAAGTGAGGACACAGAACGGGCACAGCCAGACAAGTCTGGCTCTTTCACAAACTGTAATTGGTCCATCTGCATGTCGACTGCAATCTTCATGATACGGAATGCGCATCCCTTCTCCTCAAAGTGGGGCCAGTAAACGAACCAAATACCATACCGTGCCTGTCACAGGAGAATTGCCACAACTTTGGTTCAGCTGTGATGCCTTGAGCAGCTAGGCAGCTTAGAGCAACAAGCCACCTGGATGGTCCTCACGATTTCCGGCTTCATCCAAACTCGCAAGTGTTGACACACCTGGGCAGGCTGATGCAGGCTGTCATGGCCACAGCGAAAGTCCAGCTATCTGCGCCGGGAGACCCAGTCGTGCAACTTCAACTCTTCCTGATCGACTACCTGCAGCTGCACGTGGTCAAAAAGTACTGAGGCTTGAAACTGCAAAGGCATGCCCATTGCATTTTTTTTAACTGAGGCGGAAGCTCTGCCAATCTGTAGAATTGGCATTGCCACCTCCAGTATGTAGATTTTTCTGCGTAGAGGAAGAAGCGGAACATTGTATCTATCTATCTATCTATCGATCTATCTATCGATCTATCGATCTATCGATCTATCTATCTATCTATACTGGGGGCCAAACTCCAGCGGGCAGATACATCTTTTCGCCCTTGGCCTCGAGACATCACATTTATCACATCAATGATCGCATCAATCCCAACCATTCCCAACCCCCTGGTGATGGTTGTGCCAGTCATCATGCCTCCGAGAGTTCCCAAGAGAATCGTGCAGACCTAAGGTCAGCAGGAAAGGACCATTGGAGTTTGGCATATCCTAAGCTGCGACATGTTGGGACCAACTCAGACAAGTAGCGACTTCAACCACGTACCCTTCTTCGAGACCAGTTTGCCCGGCTTGATCTGGTGAGGATGTCAGTAGCAACTGCATGCAACTGGGCTGGTGACACCTTGGCACCACTCCAGCCTCCCAGTCAGGGCCGTAGACATACCGCCTCGGTTGGACAGTTTTCATAGCTGCCGGTGGGACAAACCGCAACCTTGGGCAACGACATTGCCGTTTCCAGCTTTGTCTCCAATGATGAGAGTTCCTTGCATCGGGTTACCATCACAGCCGTGAAGGTAACCGCAAATTATCAGAACAAAGAAGCGGCGTCCTGCCACGCAGCGTCCCACCTCACAGCACGCCGACTAGCAGACAACCGGCACTACAAACATCGACGAGAACTCTGGGCTCAATGCCCACAGGCTGCATTCCCCAACGTAGCCTGTCAGTTACACATGCGCAAAGGCGATAACAATGGCATTGGCGGTGAAAATGTCGGCCCTGATCACCTGAGGAATCACCTGTTGCGCTTCCGCAAGCACTGTCTCCAAATCTCGCAGTCCCTGCACCACGGACAGCTTTGCATCTGCACATCCCTTGAAATCACTTGTGTGGCAGCTGCCTATTGCAGATTTGCAAATCCCGCCTGCTGAAGCTCAAACACCTGGCACGTAAAGGAAATAAACTGAAAGTAAGACAATCAAATCGATAAGCTGCCCTGCCACTCTCCACATCTATCCTCAATTTCTCACAGAAAACACTGTTCTCTTTCTCTCTCTCTCTCCATCTTTTCTTCCAACACCACTCGGGCCTCGAGAGCCCCTGGATCAGGATTAGCTTCGACTTTTCGCAAAGCGGCAAGGGTATCCTCACGAAGAAGGCCAACTGCGCAGGACGAGTAGAAGGCATTGAAGGCATCTACCATTTTCATACCGTTTCGTCCATTTTTGGTTGGTGACCCCAAAGACCAAACAGGGATGACCCAACGGACACTCCTGCAACTGTCCCTTGGAAGACCGACTTGCCTCAGCAGAAAATTACTGCCTCATACTGTCTCTGTCAGGGACTGATACTTTGCTAACAGTTCAAAGCACTAAAAGGTGCGCAGTAAGCACAGCACCGCAATGGCTGGTTGAAGACTTCTGGCCTGAAGTCAGAGGCGGCACAACATCTGCCGGGTTCTTAGGGCGATCACTGGAAGTCTTTCATGTGCCGAATCCCGTGACTTGAATGCTAGAAGCACCTCGAGGAAGCTGACAAGACGAAGCGTGTCCTGCACAATTTCTGTGAAGTGGTGTTGCTTTCGCAAGGGCCACATTGCCAACCAGATACAACATGGAGGCTTGCATGCAGAAGCAGCACATTAAAACAGGGAATCTAAATTGCCGCAGCTAGCAAAGTGGCTTCACTTTTTCCAACATCCTGGTGCCTTTCTCTTTGTGTCTCAAGCCATGACCAACAACCATCAAGAGCATTGCACTGCTCACATAGCTGTCTCCAGCCGTGGACCCCATCTGCACAAGGGCCAACAGGCGCCCTCCATGAGTCTGACATCAAGATCCGAACAGGACGTCTTCACGGACAAATTGGTCAAGTCGCAGGTCTTCGCCTGACAGCTTCGCAATACGGTGGCTGCCAGGCTGACTTCACCGAGATTCAAAGAAGCATTGGGTAAACTTCAGCGCCCTTCCATGCGGATCTTGGACTGCTATTCGGTGATGTGCCCATTGACTTGACAGCCTCTGCACCAAGCTAACAGCTCGAAGTCAAGACTTCCAGCCACTATTTCCTCCGGAAGCTGGCCGTTGCAAAGCAACAAAGGACAAAAGGGAATGTACAGTAACTGAATGTACTTTCTTATGCACTTAGCTTGAAATGGGACCCATTTGGTCCAGTGCTTTAGCATCAACAAAGTGCTGTCAGAAAACTAAAGTGCCGTGACAAGTTGCGACAAATCTTCGGTAAAGCCATTGGAAATCTCCCACTGGGATCTTCTCGCACTGCCCAATTCAAAGTGGCACAATTCCGCGCGTCACATTCCACTGAGCATAAGGAGGCTCCACACTCACCAACTTCACAAGTCCATACCTGAAGAACAAGCCAAACTGGTAAACTGGTAGTGCCCATTGATGAGCTGCCCTCTCTACAGATAAAGGCAGGTTGCTGAACCAAAAAAACAAATCAGCTGAGGTGCTTGCGGCTTCCCACCGATGCGCCATGAAACCAAGAAATCCAGCCGTGTTACGGGAGGAGGTTCCGCATCCTCTGACAAGAACCATAAAAGCCATTTGTCGGCCAAGAAATCCTTAAGCCAGGGTGCTCCTCCACTTCTGCGATTTCAAATTGGTGACTAGTGGCTAGTGGGGGGTGCAAATGCAAGGCGAGGCTAAACGTCACCAGCGTATAACAAAGTTCTCCTTTGCTGCCATGGCTCAGTAGTCGCTACAACCTCATGCACTGCATCAGCATCCCCACCAAAGAATTCTCTGCCAGCCTCGCATGGGTTCTTAGGAATGGTGCAACCCACTACATGAACAGGCTATGAACAGATCCTCTGACTGCTGACTTATCCAAGTTCATTACAATGATGCAGCCCACAGCTTCAGAAGTACAAGCAAAGTCACGAACACAGGTGCCTCCAGGTCAGAGACCACCTTTGCTGATGCCAACGCAAAACTGTGAACTTCGCAGGCAGCCTCAGATTTCAATGGAGCAAAACTGGACTAGTTGAGATATGTTGAGAGGCAAGAGGATGCAGGATGCACTCAAACAAAATGCACGTATTCACCAAAAATAACATGAGCCTCGCAAGCGCTAGGCAACGGTCACAAGACCCCAAATTGGACAAATGGCAAATGGGGGGAAGATTGCAGCTGCGTATCTCACAAACATGTTCAAAGAACTCAAATATATTATATATTGTAACGGTGGTGATGGTGATGCAGTGATGCAGTCATGGATCTGCTTATCCATGCCTGGCTTTCATGACAAGTGACTGATGTTGTTCGGCTCATTTACAATACGTTCATATCTTCTTCACACGCATCCACGTTTAGAATACCTGTGTAAAAGACATTAAATTTATATAAATTCATACTGATACGTTGTAGCATGACACAATGCAAGACGATGTTGCAACTGGTATGCATCTGGATGCAGTTGAATTGTGTTGTCGAGCCATGCATGTGCACGTTTATTGCAATGGTGCCGATGTGTGTTGCATGAAGCAGTGAAGGAGAAGAGCCAGAAGGATAAAGGAAACATAGGGAAACCACTTGAATCAAAATATCCATCTTTACTTCAGGGCAGAAAAACAGCAGGAGCCCCGCAGTAGAATGCAAGTAGCCTGGTGGTTGTGATGCTCGCCCCTGGTTTTCATTCGAAGCCACAAATGTTCCCGCACAAATCTCTGGGGCCCTTCACGTTCATTGCGAAAACAAAGTACCCGATGCTCACAAACGACGTCTGGAACAAGCTCTTGCACCTTGGAAAGCTACGACGTCTGCCAGACAGCGCCACCACTACTAACTACTACCACTACTGTACCGCTACTGTACCACTACCGTACCACTACCGGGGATCTTGACTTTCCCACGCGAATACTCTAAGATTTCTAAGTTTCCCAGAACTATTCTGAAAGGGTGCAGAATGGGGAGAAAGGATACTTCCTCCCTCTGCAAGACACCGTGATTAGAAAAAATGTCATCCATCCCTAAGCCAAGCTACAAAACAGTGTAGCTGTTCCCCTCCTGGTTGATTCAATAGTCTTTGCAAAACACGTGACAGGTTGAGGATACCAGCAAAGGGAAGCACGTCATCACCCTGCCAGCTAAAGCCAAGTTTGGCAACACCATAGAAGCCGTTGGCCGACTGTATGCTTGAAGCATTTTTCTTGGCTCCAATTAGAAGTAAGGCGTCTATTGCCTGTTTCGCTGCAGCTTGCGCGTCCCTCCTGACATCAGCAAATTGAACCTTCACAGTGGTAGGGACACGCCACTCTTTGTTAAGACTCATTTGTGGAAGCCAAAGTTTTCCGCACAACTGCCTGTACAAAGTGCTGGGATGCGGCCAGCCGCTTCTGAGTCCTGCCCTTTCCATACGCTGCTGTAGAGAAAAGAAATACCGCTCGTTGACACAGCCAGGCATTTTGTCATCTGCCCGCTGACATGGCCACAGAAAATACCACACCACCGTGTTCAAACCTTGAAGCACTGCTTGTGCCCAGTGTTCTGATATCGAGTCCAAGTCTTCTGACTTCTGCACAAAGATTGTATAAACTTCAAAGTCACCTGCCAGGACAGGAAAAATCCCACTGGGACCATCAACGAGATCACGTAGCATGCCATCGTTAGTCACAGCAAAATCTGACCAAGTTGGATTTACTTGGTAGTCCCACCAGCGCACAACAAGAACGGATAGCAGTGGAGGCAATGGTGGAGGCCATTGCCCCAAATCGCCCACAGGGCAAACGAGCGATTCAGGCAAGCGCATATCTACCCAGCTTGCCATCCCGTTGAGCGTGTCGCAAAACGGTCCTTTGAAGCGGACCAGAACCCGCTGGTCTTCAGGCCATTTGTCCCTCAAAACGGTCGCCATCAACCAACCAGAAGACAGCCCAGCCAATGGTGGCATGAAGTCATTAGAGCAAATGTGTACAGGTCGCTGGCGATCTGGGTGCAAATTTGAATGATAAAATGCCAGCACTTCAAGTCCTGCAGGCATTGTGCGGCCAGTTCTGCTGGGCTGCGCCTGAGGTTCCGGAAAGATCACCATTTCTTCAGCACTCCCAAGCAGTCCAGACGAGGCCGAATCTTTCAAGCCACTGCCATTCAGTCACTGTGCCAAATCTTAGAACACCACGCCGACATTGCAGACTTTCAACATTGCAAACTGCATTTTGGTTGCCAGCTGCGCAAAAAGCCCCTGGCTTTAGATGCTTTAGACAGGCAATTTCTCGGACTAAAATGGCTAGTGGCTACAGAGGATCATAGCGGATAGAGAAACAAAGGGAATCCAGAAGTAAAAAAATGCAAAACCAAAATGCAGTCACGGAAAGCATTCATGATGATGTGCGTTTTGCTGGCCAAGTCCTGTCGCGGCCACAGGTTGCCACTAAATGCAACCATCATAGCACCTACAAACGTGACAAGACTCAAGACATGAGTCGACATGAGATGGAAACTGTATGGCGCAATCCATGCCTCAGCAGCTCAACAAAAAAAGCACATCAAGCCATCAGCTATCCGACAGCTATCCACTACCATTGCATATGATGCAGATCACTTCTTGTCTGTCAAGTGTTGTTTCGGATGCTTCTTACTTCATACATACGATCACCTTCAACTATTGCCCCTTGGTCCACTTCGCTTCCGTGTCAATCATTTTTGAATGGAGTTTCATGATCCGTCTGGCTGCAAAACCTGATGCTTGCTGTCTACTTGAACCTGTTTTGAAAAATGAAAAAAGCCTTTGGACTCAGTGAACAGTGGTCATGGGGCGTGAGTCGTTGTGGATCCCTGAGTCAAACTGTTCAACTCCGCACCCCATCGATACCCAATCAAACTGATCACTCACGGCCGTCTTTGTTCTTTTTTGCAGCACTAAAAGTCTCAGAATTTGTGCACTTGATCCGCCGCAAAGCCTAGCCTTAGAACAACTGACGCGCATCCCTTCCCATCCCTTCCCCTTTTCCATCCTTTTCTTGCTTCTAACTGTTGGGGCTCGCGCTGTGCAAGGTAGCCAGACAAAGGTCCTTGGACTTTCCTGCAAGTTCATACAAGTTCACGAGTTCTACAGAAAATGCAAGCAGCAAGCCGCTAGACCTTGCGAGGTCACTGGTTTCATTGCCCCCTGCGTCCCACCGGCCTCTTTTTCCCATCGGGCAGCTTCACTCGCTGAATCGGCCCAGCCATTGTCTCGACGAAGCCATCGGTGCCACAAACCAAGATCATGGAGCCTCAAGGGGTAGAAAATCCGAAAAAATACATACTACATGTCCAACATGTTCAACATGTCGCAAGTCACATTCTTGTCATGGGGGAATCTGGTGGAAGGGGTGTGGCACAGAGACATGCAAACGTACATAGCGTGCTTTTTCGAGTTCGTTCAACCGTTCTGTGCTTTGCAAACTGGCAGCTGCCCTTTTTGGGCAGCCTGCGATGTTTCTTTGACAGTCTGGGGTGTGATGTAGCTTGTAATCGCGCCAAACATCTTCCGCCGTCAAGCAGTTGCAGACACATGCAAACGGACCTGCCCACGTCATCCCAACTGGGCACTCATTCCATGAAGCCCTTCATGGCTCTCCCCTATAACATTCTGGAACCCTTCGTAAGACCAGCCACTGGCCAAGCAACTCAAGAGGCCCTCAAATATTGAAGTTGCCGATTGTGAAAGATTTGCTCCTTCAAGGCAGTGAACGAACTTTGACACATTCGACCAAGTAATCTTGTTAGCAGGTGCCATTGTCCGCCTTCCTCAAATGCTGCAATTGCCAGTTCGCAAGTTGTCACATCAGTTTTCACCCCGAACACGCGCATGGATTGTAGGAGATTCAACGAGTGCATCCATTGCCGGTTTTGGCAGAAAGTTGTCATGATGCTGTTGCAACTTCTGATGTTGGGTTTCAAGCATCTTGCTTCGAGGTTGTAAAGCAATTGCAATGCCAATTGCCAGAAGCCTTTTCCCTCACAGGCACTGAGGGCACTGTTGTACGAAATGATGTCAGGTTCAACCTTCAAACAGCTCATTGTCTCAAGGATGATAAGGGCAATTTGCCACTTCCCTGCTAGCTCGCATGCACTGATGGCACTGTTGCAAGTAATATCATTGGGGTGAACTGCTTTTGATTGCATGAATTGCAGCAAATGAAGTGCTTCCTGCCACTTGCCCTTCTTCTCACAAGCTGAGATTGCAGAGCTGTAGCTCACAACATTTGGTGGAATCGCCGAAACGATCATATTCTCGAAGATGGAAAGCGCACACTCCCAGCGGCCATCCTTCTCACAGGCTGCGATTGCAGAACTCATTGAGACCACATCATGCTCAACGAAAGCAATCTTCATGCAATGCAGCAGGTCAATAGCCATTTCCCAAGCACCTTGACTTTCACAAGCAATGATAACACTACTGTAATGTATCACATTGGTCTCTACACGTCCACCCTGCATCACCTTAAGCACTTGCCAAGCTGTCAAAGCTCGTCTCGCCTTCCGCAAACGGGTAAAAAACCCAGTAGCCAGCTGTGGCTGGTTTTGCCAATCAGCAAGAATTGGTGTAATGGCACGCTCCACATGGGCCAAAGTTGTGTACCCACGATGTCTCAGAAGCTTTCCAACCTGATCTTCGCTGGGGCTCAAAGACAAATACTTTGGTCGATTGGTGCCAATTGTCGGGCGTACAGCACTCGGTCTCAGCCCTGCCATAGTACCTTTCCATGCGGGGCACCGCGTTGCAAAAGCATGGACTCCATACTCTCATGTTGTTTGCTCCCCTTCCTCCACTCAGCCGCATCGGGAGCAAACCCATGTGCCATCGCAACATGTGAGTGAAGTCTTACAGCACAGAACCAATATTGCAGCCATGAGCGGCATGGCGAGTAGCATCCCAACTCACATCCCAACTCACATCACCAGTCATCACTTCACTGAAAGTGTTGATGCGACTTTTTTGATGGTAAGGCAAGGACGCTCGCCAGGCAATGGCAGACAGTTTTGGAGTGTTTCGGCTGTTATGCGGCCGCTCGCAGCTCTGGGCCTGGCAACGACTGGACTCCAGCAGAAATAGCGCTCCAACAGCGCTGAGGCCCGTACCACCCAGTAAGTTTTGGGCTGCTGAGCTGCACGTGGAAATGAAAGCATGGGTTCTTTGCCATTTCTTCCAATTCCTCAGTCTTACATCCTGCTCTACCTCTTTGCATATGCTCTGCAGCCAATCTTTTGGTGTTCAGCCAAGTTTCCGGGCGCATCAAGATTTCCTCTTCATTCCGGCATGCCAGAACCATAGACACTCCTCAAATAGGCCCAATGTCTCCCTACCACAGCTAGTTGCCCGTAAAGTTCGACCGATAATATGTTGTTTTAAGCTTAAATCATCTATGAAGCCGGATTGCAAAGGTTGATCGCCTTTGTTTGATGGCGACAAGTTGCAACAAATGATTGATTCTCATAGAAAGCCATACAATTTAAGGCTTGGATTGATGGGTGGCTCACTGCGACAGGTTTAAGGGTCGGGTTTGGATCCGTGAAGTGGTAGATAGACACGGCCCCCAACATCCAAGGAAAACATGCTATGCAGCAAGGTTCGTGTGCCATTGTTCCAAGCCAGAACTTCAGAGGCCTCGCAAAAGATTCCTATGGAAACTGAAACAGCAGAGTGATTTTTTTCGAGGGGGTCCAGCGTGTCAGTTTTAATGATCATCAAATTGCAGCAAGCAAGATGACGTTGCTCCCCGGCTTACACAATATATTTGCCACCGATGCAGCTGCAGAACACAATACTTTAGAAAATTGCAAAGAGTGGATGCAGTTCTCAAGGCATGTCATGGCATGTCATGGCATGTCATGGCATGTCATGGCATTGAGGTACGAACCACTTGGAAAAGCGGAGCCACACCAGTGCCGCAAGCGACCAAACCCAGCTGGTCCCATCTGCCAGGCCGCAAAGGCGATCCGGCCAAATGACTAAACTCAGCCTTTGGCGAACTCCGTCATACAATCCAGCAATGCCCAGCAACGCAGGCTAAGCGGCTATTACAAACAAATTACAGACTAACAGTGATGACTAACACAAAGCAATTTCAGCATTCTCCATCGTTCTCCATCGTTCTACATCCTGCTCCATCTCAGTACTCCTCAATGATTTGCAAGACTAAACTGCAATCAGCTAAATTCGCTCCAAGTTTCTGGCTTGACTTTCCTGAGATGCTGGCATGTCAAGGCCAACTTTCACTGGTGATGTCATCTTTGACCTTTCTAATGCCTCTTTAGTCCTGCGATGACTGATCCAAGCCAAGGGACATGAGGGCACTCTCACCTGGCTCCAATCCACAAAGGTATGCTCCAACTCCTCCTCCTTCTCGAGGGGGATAAGCTTTGACCAGCAAATCAAATGATCCAGCCTGAACAAAGTGGGAAGTTCTGGCCAGTTTCCGAAGCACACCAACCACGAAAGTGGACCAGTTGATATTGCTTGCATTCCACTTGCATTCCACTTGCATTCCACTTTAGAGGATAATTCTTTCTGAAGCCTTCGCCGGATGGGTGACTGGAGAATATGATTTTTCCACTTCTGTCGAAGGCAGGCGAACTTTCACACCTTCAAGACGCTGCATGTGGAAGCTCAGTGTCAGGAGTGTCTTCTTACTGACACCAAATGCCAGAAAACGCTGCAAAATCACAAAATCAAAACCTTGCATATTTTATCTTCAACAAGTTCGCATCAGTCCTGTAGGCGCGGTTCGTCCTAATCCTCCAAGCGGAAGTCCGTCAGCCACACGAAATCTCAAGACAGAGGCCTGAAAGTTACAACATCTATCAAACACCATTCTGACAAATTCTCACTGAAACCCAGAATGTGAAACAACTGCACACTGACCGGTGACCATTCTGACTTCTGCAAGCAAAGGTCTGGCTGACTCCAACAGGCCAAGTCTCTGATGGTGTCACGCGACACTTCCAAAGAAGTTCAAATGGGCGAAAGCTGCCCATTGCTCAGCTACATTGGACCCACCATCATAATTGTGGACTTTTATGTGCTCTTGTTTTCAACTTGATGGCGGCAGGCTATGTCAAAACCTTTCACCAAAGCTTCGTGGCATAGCACTTAAAACCTTGCATTTTCCTGCCAAATGATGCAAATTGATAGTTTCAGTATCATGACTTGATTGGAGACTCAACTCATAATGAGCTACGTTGTCACGTAGGCCAATGAGTGAAGGGTGAACTTGCACCTGAAATCGCAAGGCATCAAACAGGTTGAAACTCCATGGCGACACTTTTTGCTGCACGAGATGTCATTCGGATAAAGCCACTTGAGCGAGCTGTTCTCGCTGCATGGGCAGGTCTAAACGCTGGTTCCCAACTCCCCAACTCTTTTTTCGAGTTAGTTTAGTAGTCCTAACAGGCATATTGAATTGTCCATTCCTGCGCCTTTCTATTATATTCCTGCCGGTTGGCGAGGAACCTCGGACGATGGAAACTCAAAGTCCCGGAATTACATTTTGACGTAGTGACGTGATTTGATGATGATGAGTTGCTTGGGCTGAAGCAATCTTCCAGCATCAGGCACGAGGGCATTCTCGGGCACAGGTGCTGCGAACCTCTCACAACACGAAAGGACAGCATTACTCAGCTCAAAAAATGCTGCACTAGCAACGCAAAGTGCGATTGCCCAAGGCTGGCGCAATGATAGCAAAGCCTGGCATGAAAAGGTGGATAGGTTTGGTGCTTACCGCTAACCTTCGTTAACCCCAAATGCATCCAAATGTTCCATATGTTGACTCTTGCACATCGGTTTGCAACAGCGTCCTGCACAATGCAGTATGCAGAATTTCTTGTCGAAGGTGGCGCCTGAAATGGTTCACAACAAACACATATAAACAACACGAAACATAAAACTATGCAGCAACCATTCCGTATGCATGTCTGAGTTTCGGACATCTGTATCTTGGCTCAACACGTTCAGATGCAATAGTTCTTGGTCCATGTCTAGACCTTGGCCCGAATGTGCCAAGTAATTATTCAACAAGCCTGCAGTGCGAAGCGGTAAAAAGCAGAAGCTCCACACATACACTTCCGTTGTGGTCAATGTTGCAATGATACCTGAAGCAAAATAGGTCAACCAAGAACAATGTAAGCGAGAAGATTGACATACAATGCAAATTGGATTGATTATATTATTATATAACATCAATCATTTGAGGCCAACAAATTGGGGTCACATTGGCGTCAAACATTTCAATCGCGGCTTCTGAAGCGGATATTCCAATGGGAACCTGGCAAACGCGGACGTGCAAAACTCTTGAAACTGGAGGTTTGTAAGCATGCAGGCAGCGCCACAACCAAAACCGAAAGGTGCCACCCTTGTACCTAAAAACACTTCACGTGCGAAATTCCATGATCCCTGGATCCATAAAGCTGGTCACGGTGTCCCCTCTGGTCCAGCCAGTGTGACCTGCAACGCAGTACAACATTGTTCATTCCAAGAAGGGAAAGGTTTGCGGGAAATTTGACAAGCGTCGGGCCTCCCAGTGGAATAAATTCGAAGCCACCAGGTCAACTTGGCACGTGCCCTGTACAGTAAATGAACTCAACCAACATGTTATGTTGCAAAATAAGTTGTGCAAAAAGCCTGCGGCAACTCCTGCTCAATCAACTTCAGGTCAGCCTCACTTTTTGGCAAAAATTCAAATTAACATTACGGAAAAAATGCGACACGACACTACCCATGAAACAAAATTGCATCATGCCATCATGTACGAACCCTTCATGGCCTTGAGCACTTCCATATCTCTGTATGTTCACGTCACTTGAGCCACGCCATGATTGCCATGTCAGTGCTGCCTCCCAGCTCCACTTCCAAGGACGTGGTAAAATCTAGGGTGGCAAGTTTTTGGATATACCCATGCCCAATACATCCCCCACCAGTTTGTGAATGGGTGACTCAATGACTCTTGGAAAACGTTCGGTTTTACAAGTTTTGGTCCTATGACTTGAAGATCATAAATCCGCAATGAAATATTTTTTGGATTGTAATCCATGTGTTTTGAGGAGCTTGAAGAAAATGTCAGCAGCTGCAAATCACAATTTTGAATTGGTTCGGCCAAAAAATGATCCAAATTTTCCTGAAATCGGTTTTAGTGCAAATCACATAAACGATCAGGAAGGCAAGGGCACCCCCAAGCTCACATGTTCACATATGTTCACATTGTGGCAAGCCAAACCACGAAACCAAACAATGCTGGTTGAAACCACAAAGCACCACTTATCGGTCAGATTTGGCTAAAGGCCACTGCCAAACAAATGTTAAAGCAACTTCCGGGTTAGCCGAAAGCAACACATCTAGTAGTTCAAACACTCGCGCCCCAACTGGTGCAACGGTTTTTTACCAAAAGCATTTGCCGGGTTTCTGCCGAAAAAAAATGCAAAGGCTGCGTATGATGTTCCCATAGATATGACGCTAAGCATGGAACAGTTTGCAAGTGGTGCGAAGGCCCTTGATTTAGTGCGTCGCAATTGGTGGTCAATGCTGACAATGTTAAAGGTCAACATTGGGAGTCTTTGCAAGCATCCCATGCAGGCCTTGAAGGTGCGACAGGCGAACCCTTGAGCACAGCAAGAAATGATGTTAAGGTCCCACATTTGGCTCGTCGCAATGGGATACAAACAGCCACAATGTCTTGTGGCCAGCTTGGGGAAAAACCACACTTTTGGAAGGATGGTGCGGCTAAAGAATTTCCCATCGGCTGCGTGTTTTTTGTTTTGCCTATTGTGTTGGCAGTGACACGGCTTCGTTGATGGACAAGGTGTGTGTGTGTGTGACAAACTGTTGGCAGCGATTTGGTAGGCCCAACGCTGCCAGGTATCAATAATGAAGTGCACGTCACTGTGATGCAGGATGAAGCAACCGAGCATCCAAAACTTCAGCCGAAACAATTGAAGCACAAAAGAAGGGAAAAAAACACAACAATGACAATCACATCGATCCTTCCCAGAAAACATGTCCCACGCCACGAAATTGAAAATGATACCGCTCAGAATTTCCAATTATGGGTTGCTTGGTGGCTCACATATGATATTGAGGTGGTGCTCGCCAGCGCGAGTGGAAATTGGCGTTGTCGTTTTTGCAATTTGTGGCTGTCAACGCAAGCCCCATTAATTGAAAGCATGTTTTTGACATGCCCCGGGGCAACAAAAACATCCCAGCGGACAGGGAACCGCGCTCGTAAAGACTTTTTTTTTCCAAAGAATCATATTTTCGCCATAGCGCAACAGACATTTCTGCAAACCGATTTGTGCCAAATTCTCGCGCGAGAATTTGGCAAAATTCGCGTTACGTGTGGGTTGTGTTTTTTTTTCCTCGCGCCTTTTTTTCTGCATGAGGTCAGTGCGAGGACTGCGTTCATACTGGCCAGTCCCCAGATGTGCAAAACGATGGGCGGGCATAAATCCAAACCCTAGCAGGTGGTGAATGCCAGCCTGGAAGGTGTGGGGGGAGCTGGGTTGTGGGTGATGATGTCGCTGACGGGGGGCGCCTCCCCATCAACGTTGGCGGTGGCTGTGAGGTTGTCTGTGAGCAGGCTGGGAGCCAAGGCATGGTGGGCTGCATGGGAAACAAGGGCAGGCCAACGGTTCACGAGTCCAAAGCCAGTGGCCGCGCGGGAATGCACGGGAGCAGATCGTGCTCGTGCTGCTGCCAGTAGTCAAATGAAGGTGCCAGTTTCGTTGCTGAAACGCCCCCCCAGCTTGAATCCCAGGGTAACCGCTCATTTCATTGGAGCATGTTGACAGGTTTTTTTTTCGTTTTTCCCGAGAGCGCCTGCGAAGGGTTCTTCGTAAAAAAGCAGCCGTTATACTACATCTTCACACCTTCACATCTGCTGATCTACATCTTCACACCTTCACATCTGCTGATCTAGATCTTCACACCTTCACACCTGCAGATCTACATCTTCACACCTTCACACCTGCAGATCTAGATCTTCACACCTTCACATCTGCAGATTTAGATCTTCACACCTTCACATCTGCAGATCTACATCTTCACACCTTCACACCTGCAGATCTAGATCTTCACACCCTCACACCTGCAGATCTAGATCTTCACACCTTCACACCTGCAGATCTAGATCTTCACACCCTCACATCTGCAGATCTAGATCTCCACACCCTCACATCTGCAGATCTAGATCTTCACACCCTCACATCTGCAGATCTAGATCTTCACACCCTCACACCTGCAGATCTAGATCTTCACACCCTCACACCTGCAGATCTAGATCTTCACACCCTCACATCTGCAGATCTACATCATCACACCCTCACACCTGCAGATCTAGATCTTCACACCCTCACACCTGCAGCTAGATCTTCACACCTTCACATCTGCAGATCTCCTCTCGCTCTTCTTCTATTCTCTCTTAAGGCGGGGGCGGTGCCGCCGGAGCGCCACGAAACGCAACCCTTTCGCACGAAATGGACGTTGGACGTCCAAAACCTAGGTAAAATTGCGATTTTGATTGGTCGCGCGCAACCCTTTCGCACGAAATGGACGTTGGACGTCAAAAACTGAGGAAAAATTGCAACTTTTATTGGTCGCGCGCAACCCTTTCGCACGAAATGGACGTTGGACGTCAAAAACTGAGGAAAAATTGCAACTTTTATTGGTCGCGCGCAACCCTGTCGCGCGAAATGGACGTTGGACGTCAAAAACTGAGGAAAAATTGCAACTTTTATTGGTCGCGCGCAACCCTTTCGCACGAAATGGACGTTGGACGTCAAAAACTGAAGAAAAATTGCGACTTTGAGGTGTCAATCGCAACCCTTACGCACGAAATGGACGTTGGACGTCAAAAACTGAGGAAAAATTGCGACTTTGAGTTGTCAATCGCAACCCTTTCGCACGAAATGGACGTTGGACGTCAAAAACTGAGGAAAAATTGCAACTTTTATTGGTCGCGCGCAACCCTTTCGCACGAAATGGACTTGGACGTCAAAAACTGAGGAAAAATTGCAACTTTTATTGGTCGCGCGCAACCCTTTCGCACGAAATGGACGTTGGACGTCAAAAACTGAGGAAAAATTGCAACTTTTATTGGTCGCGCGCAACCCTTTCGCACGAAATGGACGTTGGACGTCAAAAACTGAGGAAAAATTGCAACTTTTAACGCAACCCTTTCGCACGAAATGGACGTTGGACGTCAAAAACTGAGGAAAAATTGCGATTTTACTTGGTCAATCGTAACCCTTTCGCACGAAATGGACGTTGGACGTCAAAAACTGAGCAAAAAATGCAATTTTAAAGTGTCAATCGCAACGCTTTCGTCTGTGTGTAAAAGCCTCTGTGTGTAAAAGCCTCTGTGTGTAAAAGCGTCTGTGTGTAAAAGCGTCTGTGTTTCAAAGTGTCTGTGTAAGGGTCTGTGTGTAAAACCGTCTGTGTGTAAAAGCGTATGTGTGTAAAAGCGTCTGTGTGTAAAAGCCTCTGTGTAAAAAGCCTCTGTGTAAAAGCGTCTGAATGTGAAAGTTTTGTTTTTGTGTACAATCTTCTGTGTGTAAAAGCTTCTGTGTGTAAAAGCGTTTGTGTAAAAGTGTTTGTGTGTAAAAGTGTCTGTGTAAAAGTGTCTGTGTGCAAAAGCGTCTGTGTGTAAAAGCGTCTGTATGTAAAAGCCTCTGTGTAATAGCCTCTGTGTGTGAAAGTGTGTGTGTGTGTGTAAGTGTGTGTGTGTGTGTAAAAGCGTCTGTGTGCAAAAAGCGTCTGTGTGTAAAATCGTCTGTGTGTAAAAGCGTCTGTGTGTAAAAGCGTCTGTGTAAAAGCGTCTGTGTGTAAAAGTGTCTGTGTGTAAAAGTTTCTGTGTGTAAAAGCCTCTTTGTGTAAAAGTTTCTGTGTGTAAAAGTGTCTGTGTGTAAAAGTTTCCGTGTGTAAAAGCCTCTGTGTGTAAAAGTGTCTGTGTGTAAAAGTGTCTGTGTGTAAAAGCGTTTGTGTGTAAAAACGTCCGTGTGTAAGAGTGTCTGTGTGTAATAGCGTCTGGGTGTAAAATCTTCTGAGTGTACAAGCTTCTGTGTGTAAAAGCGTCTGTGTGTAAAGGAGTCTCTGTGTAAAGGCTTCTGTGTGTAAAAGCCTCTGTGTGTGAAAGTGTTTGTGTGTAAAAGCGTCTGTGTGTAGAAGTCTCTGTGCAAGCGTCCGTGTGTAAAAGCCTCTGTGTGTGTGTGTAAAAGAAAAGCGTGTGTGTGTGTGTGCGCGTGTTTGTGTAAAAGCTTCTGTGGGTAAAAGTGTCTGTGTGTAAAAGTCTCTGTGTAAAAGCTTCTGTGTGTAAGAGCGTCTGTGTGTAAAAGTGTCTGTGTGTAAAAGCTTCTGTGTGTAAAAGCGTCTGTCTGTAAAGGAGTATGTGTGTAAAAAGCTTCTGTGTAAGAGCCTCTGTGTGTAAAAGCTTCTGTGTGTAACAGCTTCTTTGTGTAAAAGCGTCTGTGTGTAAAGGAGTCTGTGTGTAAAAGTGTCTGTGTGTAAAAGCGTCTGTGTGTAAAAGCGTTTGTGTAAAAGTGTTTGTGTGTAAAAGTGTCTGTGTAAAAGTGTCTGTGTGCAAAAGCGTCTGTGTGTAAAAGCGTCTGTGTGTAAAAGCCTCTGTGTAATAGCCTCTGTGTGTGAAAGTGTGTGTGTGTGTAAGTGTGTGTGTGTGTAAAAGCGTCTGTGTGCAAAAAAGCGTCTGTGTGTAAAAGCGTCTGTGTGTAAAAGCTTCTGTGTGTAAAAGCGTCTGTGTGTAAAAGCGCCTGTGTGTAAAAGGGTCTGTGTGTAAAAGTCTCTGTGTGTAAAAGTGTCTGTGTGTAAAAGTTTCTGTGTGTAAAAGCGTCTGTGTG